CTGGACGTCGTGGATTTTTCAATGGCCACCCCAGCTGCTCTGTCTGTTTTTTGTCTTTTCCATCGGACACGGAAGTTGAGGGTTGGAGCAGAGGTGGAACCGTCAAAGACGGCCATGATGAGAGTAGGCAAATGTCCGTAACCGTACAAAACGCCATCCACACTCCCACGGTAACTACTCTTCTCAGCTTGGTTGACACCACTCTCATGAAAGGAGGGGAAGGCAACCTGTTTTGGACGAAATCGGAATCCTTTTCCGCGCACAGAACATCTGTCCCGCCACGCAGAGCCTACACCACCCAGTCCCCGGGCCGTTGCCTTATCCACCACTTGATTCTTACCTAAGCAAACGGCGCATCGCTTTCTGTGATGGCCTCTTGGCCATCAATAGATACATACTGCATGGTATGTTGCTGGCTGCCTGTAAACTACCTTTATCAGATGCCTCTCAAAGCCAAGCCTCCTCAATCGTCGATGTCGAGCACCAGTTCGCGCAAACGCTCATCCCGAACCCAGTCAAGGCCGCTGCCAGCGACGATAGCACTAGCTGTGCCTTTCATCACTCTCCATTTTCCGCGCGTCGCTCTAAGCTGGGTCTCTAATGTGTCCAGTTCCATCTTGAGCTGTGTATTTATGACATTGTTGGGTTCTTGCCCGACATTATCAGCAGCAAGGTCAAGCGTTTCCGATGCGAGTTCCACATTTCGCTGTTTGGTTTCTAGATATTCAACCTCAACCTTTGTGAGCCTCTCCATGGCCGAGTGCAGGGCCGAGCAGTGCTCAGCGGTGCGCTTTGCTGCATGGTCGCGCTGCTCGATGTGGGATAAAAGATCCCTAGGTATTGGTTAGCGACAGCTTTGGGCCTCCATGTCAGTGCAGCACCCACCGTTCAACAGGCGAGGCGTGAGTGGCATGGTGGACGGCTTTTAGAGTTGGCTGGACCGCCACGACGCTTTCGATAACTCTGTCGCGAAGTGACAGTGATGCGTTTGCTTCCAACAGCCGGGTTCGACCGTCTGGTGATCCTTTCCCTTTAAACAAGGAAGTTAGCCACAGAGCATGTGCCAGGCACGCACCATCTCGGTCATGCTGGTAAGTCTCATACACACCTTGGGTGTAACGCTCTTGTGCTCTGAGAACTGCCAACTGGAGCTGGAGTTGTTGCACCTTGTCGTAAAGCTCCAGCACGCCGGCTTCGGCCTGGGACAGCTCGGGTACAGAGGTCGTTGCATTGATTGCTGCCATGTTGGTGGGAAGAGCTGTAAATTTCGATCCCGTGGTGAATGCTTCGCCGGTCCACACGTGAGCCAGACGCGCCTCGACGCGGTCTTCACCTTTGAAGCAGCAGGAAGCTTTTAGGTCTGCATGACGTAGCAGTGCAGCTAGCTTGAGAGCACAGTGTATTTAACATGGATGCCCCTCTACGGAGTAGTGCAGGTGGTCTTTTGGTGGAACCCAGGTGGCTTGGTGAGCAGCAGCCTGGGGCGACCAAGATACGGTAATCATCCACAACCACAGCCTGTCTGCCTTTCGGCGGCATGTGCGCTCTTGAGCTATACCTCACCTTAACCTCCACCATCAGTATTTTAAGGTTGGAGCCTCCAGGGCAGCTTGATTCAATTCTTGTGTGTTTTTCCAACCCACAGGTGTGAAGTGGGCTGGGTTCTTCTTACGGGAGACGGCCGACTGCTGCCAACCGGGCATCCCGCGTGTCTATCCGTCCTTTGCACCTGCAGAACACTGAACGGTGAAGCTGAACAAAAACACTCGGGATAAGAAAGAGACGGGCCTTTATCGTTTGCGCGCCGTCTCCTCCCGCCGCAGCCCGTTGCGAAACTCTGGTCAACGGGTCCAGCCTTTTCCATCTGCATTCCGTTCTATTCTTGAAAGGCATGTGTCGATATGGCGTCACAGGTGTTGATTGCCCACACGGGTCAGCGCCTGCATCTTGACGCTTCCCAGGCCTCATCGTGCGTTACCCTCCCCTACTGCTACGCTGTACCCGTGAGAGATGCTGACAGTTTGAGCAGCTTGGACAACCTCAAGGCCACCGTGGCCTTGAATTTATCTATACCCGCACAGTACATCATCGCGTTGACCCCCCAGGGAAGGCCCTTGAAGCCCCAAGCCACCCACACCGAGGTTAGTTAGCTTTCGTCCTGTGGATATGGGTTGGGAGGACATGCGCAGCGTGATGAGGTTGGTCTAACGACGTTGAACAGAAAGAAATCTACATTTACGATAGTCGCCTAGCCCTAGGATCGTCCCCAGGAACACCGACTCCTGCCCGGTCCGAGCTCCCTATGCCCAAGGAATACATTTTCTCAGACGCCCCGGACTTGATCGAAGACTCGCGCTCTATTCACGCATGGCAAGAGTTGTACAAGGCACGCCAGGTCTGGGCGTTCAGGGTGGTGGAGGATTGCAGGCAGATGGCTACCGCCGCAGATGACCGCTACAGCGAAATCGATGTTATGCTCCGTTGTCTCGATGCGGCTGTCACCAACCTCGAGTCTGTCATCCGAGGCCTGGAGCCCAAATATGCAGAGCTCACGAGATGGATTCCCACAGCCCGGGCTGACTATGCGGCATTGGCAACAGGATGGGAGGAGTATCTATCGCTTGCACGGAGCATTCCGGTTTCGTCGGCGATGGTCCGGTTCATGACCGGACAGGAGGTCAGCGGCACTAAGGCAAGGCTGCAGCGGCAGGCCACTTTGGAAGACCTGATTGATCTGGAAACTACCCGAAAAGCTGGCCGTTTGGCGCCAGCAGCCCTCCGCAAATTCAACAACAGGGTCGCGGATCTAGACAAGGCTGCGACACGCCTATTCCAAGATGCTGAGGATCTCTTCCGGGAGTTTGAGAGGACCATGGCACGGTCAGCCATGGACCATTCTCGTGACGCACATCAGTTATTGCAGGACATTGAAGCGGTGGCCAAGAAAATAGACACGGACTACCAAACGACGCTGGAGTACACGAGTTCGACCCGGGACGCCCTCTCGCAAATTTCCAAGATTGCGGTCAACCATACCGAGCGCTTGCTGCCAAGCATGGCAAAGCGAGCGGTCGAACTGAGCAACATGCTCCAGTATGCCACACAAGCCAGAAATACTCTTGCGGCTGAGTCCACAGAATTCATGCGGAGCATTGCCGATATCACGTCGCTCAGCAGCAGTGTCAAGGCTCAAATCAATGGGGTCAACCAAGAAGACGAGCTCTCCACGTTTGATCATCTCCGTCTCGTTCAACAAAGTCCGTACATGTACGCCTCCTTCGTCGTTGAGGCGATCAGGCGCCGCGAGTGGCTTGAAAAGGTCAAGCAAGACTCGTCCACCCTTGCCAACGAGATGGCTCTCTTTCAAGAAGAGGAGATCAAGCGGCGCAGAAAGTGGTACAAATCCATTGCGAACACATATGGGCCCCAAACTCCAACGTCAGAGAGTAATGTACCCGGCTTGGAAGTAAATCTGCTCGGAGAAGAAGAGAGCTGGCCGTCAATGACTCGAGGGGACCTGGAAGAGTTCTTTGCGCTCCTACAAATACCAAAGGCAGACCCCGAGATCGTGAATGACGTGGGAAAGCTGGTGGCAGAGCTGAACAACCCTACAAGACAGCAGTCCAGGAGGATGAAGGCCTTTAAAAACGGCAGCGTGCATGAGGCTGCCCTCGGACGTAGTGGCTTGTTGATTCGCGGTGATGACGACCTACTCCGGACGTTGCAAGATGAGAAAGCTAAGCTGGAGGGCAAGCTTAAAACAGCAGAAAGTCGGGTGCGACGTCTAGAGGATTTGCTTCACCGCCAAACCCAAGCATCACGACCAAGTATCGGCAATCTATTCCAGGTCCCGAGCCAGCAGTTACCGGACCGCAATGACTCTACAATATCGGTCCGGTCACCTCGAATCACAGACGACCGGAGAGGATCACTTGAGGGGGCTGAGGTTTTGGCCCAACGAATTCAGCAGCTCGAGTCTGACCTTGCAGCCGAGAAGGAGAGGTCGGCGGGTCTAGAAAGGGAATTGAATGTGCAGGTGGCCCAGCATAACAATATCAAGGGCCAGTTGAGCGAGGTCAACTCGACGAAAAAGGACTTGTTGGAAAATATGGAGGCTCAAAAACGGGAGTTTGTGGAGGAGCGAAAGTCTTTCCAGGAGGAGATCCGGCAATTGCAACTGCGCCTGGAGCACACAGAAGACGAGATTGAACACTATGGTGAGTCAAGGGAGCATGAAAAAACCTCTTACGATGAGAGGATTCGCCTTCTTGAGTGCGAGGTGCTTGAGAAGCAGGACGCCCTCCTGAAATTTGAAGGCCAAGTTGAGGTCCTTCGTAAGGAAACAGGCTTGCAGCGGGAGAGGCTGGAGGCCCAGGAGCGGCAGTTGCAGCACGCACAAGACGAGCGGCAAGACCTAGTAAAGAAGGTCGAGGTGACAAGTGAGGAAGCGGGACATCATGTCAAGACGCTACATTCTCTTTGGGGACTGTTGGCGCCAGACGCATCCATCCCGGTCGATCCCACTAAGCTTTCAGAAGCAATTGTTGGCAAAGTTAACGATGTACTGTCTCGACTGCAGAGGCTAGACGGAGATATGTCGCTTCTGCGCCTGGATCTCGATTCTTCTCAGAGCGCAGCCAAGATTGCGCAGGCGGAGAGGGCATCCCTGGAAGCAAGATTCGATACCTTGCGCAAGGCAGTTTCCGAGGAGAGGGCAAAGGTAGCCGCATTAGAAGGCAAACTGGCAGAGAGTCGCAGCCAACTCCAACAGCTGCGCTCGAAGTTGGCCGATGGTGAGACTGGTACAGAGTCTCTACGAAAACAGCTCGAGCAACAAGAAAAGAAAATCATGGTCATCACAGAGGAGCTGGCGTCGCGCACATCGCAGGTCGGCAGCATGGAAGAAGGCGCTCGGCTACTCAAGGAGAAGCTGAAGGAATCGCAGGTCCGGTTGTCGGAGCTGGGAGCTTGGTTTGAATCTCGGACCGAGCATGCAAAAGAAATTACCCAAAGGCTATACGCCCAGAACGAATGTTTGATACGCCTCCTTGAGCGGCTCGGGTTTTCGGTAACCCGTCAGGATGGCAACATGACGATACAAAAGGTTCCGAAGGCAGAACGCTCGACTCAAAGCACAAGTGAGTTGGATCCCAGCATGTCTCTTCGACGCTCCAGCACCCTTAACCTGCGCCCAGTTGCAGACAGTGCCGACCTGAAGCTATTATACTGGATGGATAGCAACAACAGACAAAGCGAGTCAGCAAGGTATACCGCCTACTTGGAATCACTTGGCTACTTTGACATGGATGCCTTTTGCGAAACCGTGATACGCCGCGTTCGAGATATTGAAAATATTGCCCGGAAGTGGCGAGGATACCGGGACAAGGCACATGCATTGCAAAAGGATGCTCACAACAAGATCGCCTTCAAACACTTCAAGGAGGGCGACCTGGCATTGTTTCTTCCTACCAAGAATCAGGCAACAGGTGCTTGGGCGGCATTCAATGTGGGCTGTCCCCATTACTTTCTTCGCGAGCAAGAGTCGCACAGGCTGGACAATCGTGAGTGGATCGTTGCCAGAATCTCGCGGATCCAGGATCGCGTCGTGGATCTCTCCAAATCACTGCAACATCAGCCTGGAGATCGAAGGAGGGGGTTGTCTACAGACGCGGAGCCATCTAAGGACGACAATGACAACCCCTTCGGCCTGTCTGATGGTCTGAGGTGGTATCTGATCGATGCAGAGGAGGATAAGCCAGGTGCTCCGAATACGCCGGGCCTTGCAAAGTCTACAGTGACGGTAGCTGCCAACAAAGTCGAGGCCATGGCTGACATGCACACCCATGGGCGGTCCGGGTCCAAGTCTGGAGGGCTTGTGGGTCGTGGAGCTGCGCCGTCTGGCATTGAGGGGGTCAGCAAGACACTTTCCAAGAGTCTCGAGAGCCGTCGCTCTAGTACGGGCTCTAGAAAGGCCCTGCCCTTTGCGATTGGTGTTTCTCGAGGTCGGGACAGTGCCGTCGCTAGTGAGACAAACTCTCTCCGTGCTGCGCCAGCCGATACCCCGGTGGCCACAAGTCCTATACAACAGCATGCTGTGCCTCAGGTTACCACTCAAGCAGTTGATGCGAGGCAGACGATCGGTGCCGACGGAGAAGAAGGAAGCTCAACGGAAGCAGCGTCAGCCCAACAGCCGCGACAATCGCTTTCTGAGGTGCGCTACCCACTTGATTCCCTCATCGGACCCTGAAGCATACCTTTGCATTACCAGTGTTGACAGGTTCAATGAAAAGCGGGTCTCTCACAGCTTGGAGCAGCCTGCACAGAGCGTTGGCCCTTCCGACCTTTTAAAGAAGAGTGTAGTCTGGGATTCCCTTTGGAACCTGGACGCTCGTTACGATATCGGACCACAGTACAGGCAGCCCTCGAGCTGAGGCTTGTTTGAAGCTGGCAACTCCCAAGGGTTTATAAAGATCGCCTACGTAAAACAGGGGCAGAAATGGAGTCAAACAACATAGAATAATATCAGGGAAGGCATGGCAGACCCTGCTGCATCATCAGGCTAGAATGTTTTCGTAATATGTCGTAAGCGGTGCGTGCAATAGTACACGTGTATGTACACAGTGATAGTTACAGTAAAATTATACAATCCAGCCCGGTCCACTCCCCTGATTCAACTTAGTGTTGACAGGCTACCAGCTGGCCGTTGGCATGGGACGTTCCTTGTCTTTCCTATACGGCAGTCTTCTTCGACGCTGGCTGTGGCTCTTGTGTCTTCTCTTCACTGGGGAGAACCTCGACAGACCTGGTGATAGGCTCCAGATCCGAGTTTCCAATCGATACCTTCACTTCGAAGCGTCCTAGCTCCTTGATCTTGTTGATTTCGTCCTTCAAACCTAGCACGGTGACATGAGCGGGCTCGATGTTGATCTGAGCCCCGTCCTCGTCGGCAGATATGCAGCTCTTTATCGAACTCGCAATGTCCTTGGTTGATACAGAGCCATAGATCGCGAGGGGTCCCTGTGGGGTCTCCTGGGCCGCAGCGACAGCGACGAGAGGTGATATGGTTGCCGTATTGGATGGCGGGGCAGGAATCGGGATACGATAGAAGGTGATGGTTTTCGGAACAAGCCTTTCAAGAAGCTCACGCACTCTCTCCGGCTACAATCCAGCCACCGTTGTTAGAAAACAATTTGACCTTTATCAAACGCTGGAAACGAGAAGAGTGCCCCTACCTTGATGGTCTTCTTCACAGGCTTGGCGGCCTGCTGAGGTTCGGCTACCGGGGCAGGTGGTTTCGCGGCAGGCAACTGCTCCAGCACCTTCATATCGACAAACGTCGGGTCCCTCTCGCCGACATCATTCTTGGGGGACAGGCCGAGCTCCTTGAAGCGGGCTACAGTCATATATTCCGCCAATTTGCGGGGAAACCACTCGTTGCGCATGCGGCCGCGCTCGACACGGAAGATTGCATCTAAATGGAAAGAAGAGGATTAACAAGCCTCCCTTTGAATTTTGTGAGGGGAGGCAGTGGTTTAAAGTATACCTTTCCTGCCAAACTTGGGGATATTTGCTAACAGGCGGACGACAACTCCCTTGTCGCTGGGGACGAGATGGGTGGACTTTGCTCGAGTCTGAACCAGTGGGAGGGAGTTGACGGGACCGTTGGGGGATAGAAAGGGCTGTGCTAGCCTCCGCATGCACCAAAGGCATGCTGGCGATCTGCTCACCACTGGTCCCGCCATCGTGACGGGTCGAATGGGACTTGGAGGGTCGGACAACGGGCGTGTGAATTGGAATCACAGCTCAAAAAAATCGAGACCGGGAGCTATGGATAATGTTCGGTTGGGGTCCACCCACAGTTTTTGCCAGGATCAATTCGGTTACCGTAATTTACGGCACTCTGGCTGTATTCCGTAACTTAAATACATACCTTACATACATCTCGACCATAATTAGGACGTTGTTTCTACTGGCTACTGCCTTTGCAGATGCAGGAAACGTCTATTTCCAGGCAAGCTTCTCTCCGCGAACCAACTGACCGAGCCAGCGCTGCAGGTCTAGCACCATTCCCTCGACCAAGTCCGTTTCGACTATTCCTTCTTGCCAGCTCAGGCTGATACAGATATCTCCACCAGCAACCCCGGCGACGTTGACCCCTATCGCGGCTCCTGCGACCGTTGCTCCTTGAGACATGATTGAGCGACGGATCTGCCAGCCTGGCTGGAGATGGCTTCCACTTGGGATGCCGTGAATCGACCCGATGTTAGATACCTCCCATGTCGTTTCCCTCGGTTTACCTATCTTTGAAAGCCAGTATTTTCTCCAGTCTGTGACCCAGCTCAGCATACTGATGATGTCGTCCTTCGGCACAGTCTCTAGGTGTTTCTTCATTCGACCTCTTAGGTTGACTGCGGTCTTCCAAATATCGTCCTCGTCCCTATCCCCATGGATCTCATGTGACTCAAAATGATGCGCCTGGGTGGTAACTAGAACTCCAAAAAGAGCTCCAGGCTTTCCGCTTGGTGGATGGTCTGAAATATAGGGCCTTAGATCTAATGGTGTTGAGCTGCAGAATACTTGGGCATCTTTGGCGGGAACAAGCTTGGCGATAGAAGCCAGTACGAGCGAGTGAAGCAAGGGCGTCAGTGTCGTGCCGTGTTGTCTGCATATAGCGAGAACAGATGGCGCCACCTCCGCAGGAACTACAATCAGGCGAAGGTTTGTTTGGAAGGGCTCGGGGGTGATTAGCTTTCCAGTCCATGGGATTGCCTTCGACGGTCTTGAAAGCCAGGCGGGACCGAGCTCTCTGAAAAGAGTACCCAATACAAAACCCCAGGACTGTTTGAAAGCCACCACCTCTTCCAGGGGGGGACTGAGCTGCTGGCTGGGCGGGAGGCTTAGAACATGGCCGGAAAGTTGTATCGGGCGCACTGAGGGGTAGGCCAACTCATTAAGGAGTTTGGTGTGAAAAGCCGCAGTGCTTCTGCCATCCGCTATTGAATGATGCACTGCGAAGATGACATCAAAGGCAAGGACTCCATTTGCTGGATGAGGGGTGGAAACAATGATCACCTTCCACGGAGGCCGGCTCGAGATATCAGGAAAGTATTGATCGTGTTGATGCTCCAGTTTTTGGATAAGCTCAACGTCGAGGTCCTTCGATACCTCGTGGTATTCGAGGTGGAGGTGGAGGTTGATGGCCGATAGGAATACAAAATATGGACTAGATGTTTCCTCATCTTTTATACCCACCCTCAGCGACGGAATGTCAAGAACCACGCTGGCGAGGGCTCTCTCAAACACCTCATAGACAGACTGGCCTTGAACTCCGGATGTGGGGACTGTGTAACGACAAGTATTGATCACGCACTTGTAAAAGCCGAGGGCGTGCCTCGATGAAGAGTATCTTTCACTGTCACGAGTGGTCAGACGAGTCTTGTGCGCAGATAAGCCTTGAGGTTTCGCAGCAAAAACATACGTACCACGGCCCGAGGGCTCGGGCTTGTCGGTGCCCGGTCTCCATCATATGTAGATGTTTGTGGGATCAAACGGTCAGACTTTGAAACGACCCCCCCCAATGCGGAAGCCAGCCCGGAGTGCAAGGCGGGACGGGGTGCGGCATTGCGGGGGACCAGGGCAGCCTCACGGCGCTAGCGCAGGCCAGCACGGCCAGCCCTGCATGGGGTGGATACGTCGACGCGCCAAGCTATCCACGTCCAGTTGGCAAGTAGCCTTGAAGATTCCATGGCTCACTTGACAATTGGGCTGCAATTGCAACTGTCATTCCCGCCATGCGCGCCCGCGCAGTTCAAATTCCAGCTCATGTGTTCCGCGCCTTGTCATGATTCATCTGGTCGAGCTTTCTTTGTGACAACGCATTCGCACCTCAACCGTTGTCGCCCAACCATCAATCACTTCGACGATACATATAGGGGCACATACAGATAATTCAAGGGCGCGCGCTGCCTCTCCGTCCAGCATCTGACCAATTCACCCTGTCCCTCGCCCTTCTCACACTCGGACACTCGGCCTACCTACCTACTCTGAGGCGCAACACCATGGACCGCGACAAGGACAAACCCGACCACCGGTTTGCGCAGACGACACGTGCGATCGCCCCGCTCACGATTACAAGCGCTTCCAAGCGGAGGAGTCTATTCTCTCGTCCAAACCTCAATGATGATGGAACCCGACCTGCCGGTGCCGACGCGCCCGCTGAGAGCCGAGTTGGCTCGCCGAACAACACAAGAATTCCTCGCCTTGCCCAACATCGAGGCATATTTACGATGGAAGATGCCTACCGCTTGGCCACAGAAGAGGAAGAGGCCGCAGCCCGAGGATCCCCAAGTCCCGCGCCACGAACATGGCGCTCACGCCGGGAATCCAGCGAGAAGAACACGTCAAAGCTGCCTGGTGTCGGAGCTCTCGGGACCCAACATCGCAGGACGATGACAAGCAAATCCACGGATGCGGTGGGTGAGGATAGGGTCGGTTTGTCAATGGGCCTTGGTGCCCGGTCGCTCCGAAGCAACATTTCCGACAGCAGCTTTGACGAAAAGATTCGCCAGCACGCCCTTGCGCAAGGAGACCCCGAAGCACCGATCTCTCACAGTAACAGCGCTTCGTCTAAAGCTGGTTTGGGAACCAGAATACTAGAGACTGGGAGAGGATTGGTACGGAGGAGTAGTCGTGGCAGTCCCGAGGGCAATGCTTCACCTCGCAACCCCAAGACTTCAACAGCCGGCAATAGGTTTTCTGGCTTGTTATCGAGGAAGAAGCGAGAATTGAGCAGCTCAACACAGACGCCTGATCTGGCGGATTGGATCCGGTTCAGTGATGGCTCTGCTGGAGATTTGGCTCGGCCAGCGTCCAACCCGCTGTTGCGCCCCACCTCTGCGCCACCGGACCAAGAGTCTCCTGAAAGGAGTTTCGCATGGGAAGCAGAGAACGACTTCACAGCTGGCGACCTGCAGGTCTCTGAAAGCCCTGCAGTCAGTCTCGGTCGAAGTAACACCAAGATCGATGAAATACGAGCACTCGAAGCTGAACACAGTGATAAGGATCCCGAGAGCAACCCCAACTCTTGGAAGAATCTCCGGATCGACGAGATCAGAAATCGCGAAGTTGAAACTGCGTCCAAGCCGCCGGAACTCACCGCTGCGCCGCGCGAGGTTATGGAGCAGACCGCATCGCAGGATCGAGACCTCACAACCCGAAGCCGATCCGGAAGCAACACAAGTACTAAGATGGATGAAATTAAATCGCGGGAGATTGAAAGAGTGTCTAGGAGAGCCATCACCACCGCTCAGCTGGGGAAAATCCGGGAGAGAAACGCCGAACTCACGTCGCGCTCGCCATCGCCCGATATGGGGCGGAAACCCAGCGCGGAGCCTCTGCGTTCTTTTTCCCCGCCGGACGAACAGAGTTGGAGAAGGGGATCCGATGTGGCCAACTCTGCTTCACAAGTACGAGAGCCAAGCGCTCGCCAGAACTCGATCTCTGCAGCTCTAAACAGTTACGATGAAGATGGTCCAGTTATCGATGACTATGATAGACAACAGAGACTTAGCGAAAATGCAGGGATCCGACGCCGTGGCTCACGAGGCAGAGATGAGTCGCGAGATGTCTTGCGCAGACTGTCAGCCGCGGCGATCACAAATCAGCTCACTGACCTGCCAGCGTCTGGCATTTCTGAGGGTGTGTCTGGGCGTGAAAGACCTCGGCAATCCAGCGGAAGTCTTCGACAAAGGATGTTTGCCGGTGCTAAGGGTGACGGCAAACCCACTGTCGGTTTTGTTGGACTTCGGAGGAATGATTCGATGGAATCCAACCTGACAAAGCGGTCAAGCTTTATCCTCTCGGAGTCTGACCCTACAGAGCGTATAGAAGGTGAGATGAATCTATTTGCGCCACATGAAAACCAGTCTGAACGCGGGTCTCTTCGGGCATTATCTCCAGAGCCAGAAGAAGTCACGCCAGACAAAACACCCAAACCCTCCAAGCCTGATCCTCTCACGATGCCCACTCCTCGGGTAACAGGTGCTTTTGTCGAAACACCCGCGACGGTCAAGGTTGAGAAAAGAGAGGAGGATGACATCAAACCGCAGCCAGGCAAACACGACGAACTTCCTGCGGAGCGAGGCAGAAGGGGTGAAAGCGTACCGAGACAGCCCAAACAAACTCAGTCATCCCGTGGTGACAGGATGTCGAGGCGTTCCTCTTCGATTTCTGTCCGACGTCGTGCAAGGTCGCTGTCGAGAGGTCGACCCTTGATCAATTCTGGCAAACCACCAACTGTCCGAGATGACATACTAGAAATACAGCGAGCCAACCAGATCGACGATTCCACTTTGGATGATATCGCCGACCTCATGTTGAAACAAGGCGCCAAAGGCCACGGCTCCGAGGCTATTGAGATCAAGACCGACGATGGCGGCGATGATGAAAAGGACGCAGGCGATCAGGATGCTCAAAGATTGAGACGGATGAGCAGGAGTCTGCAGAACGGGATCATGAATATTCGCACTGCGAAGCAGGGAATTCAGAGACTGGAGGATCAAGTTGCGCATGGCAATCTCAAGAGTGCGGCCGACGATGCTACCGAAACCGAACACACTCACAGCAAACATGACGTTGATGCCCCGTGTCCCATCTGTCAAGGAAACGAACCAACCGCGACAACGACCCTCACTTACGTTCACTTGCCTCTACCTCGACTGTGGCATCACCAGCCGCGTTTCAAGCTTACATTTCTCGGCCTTTGCGTCTTTCTTCTTTCTCTTTGGTACATTGCTGAGTCCTGTATGTGCCACTTATACTGCAAGCCTCCGTACTGCGGCCCAGGTGAGCCTTGTAACTGGGATATTGAATATCCTTCTTGGGGCTTCACGATTCCGTCAAAGTTGGACGAGTGGGTCACGGGGGGACAAGGCAAGCACCTTGTGCAGGAGTGGACTCCCGAGGTCGCAGAGTGGATGATTGGCTTGTGGGACACGGCTATGAGTACTGACCCTGAGTCGACCGTCGCAACCCCCTGGAGCCGTAGCGCGAACCGCAGACGTAGAAGACGGGTGCTCAGGCAAGGAGGCTTAAATCACTAATAAACGTTGCTCATTCTGGGAAAGAACACTCTGCCGGTCAGGGCAGGGGAGGGGAGGAGATAACTAGCGACGAGAAGTGAATCGAGATGCCGGGCTGACTGCTGCTGTGCTCTTTTTGGTTCGGAATGCTGGATGAGGGATAGCAAGACGTTTCTGGCTGTGTCTATTTTGTTGACCCACGCAAAAGCTCATTAGGGTTGAAATAAGATAGGAAAGCGTGGCGATTAGATGTGGTTTTAAGACGGCGCTTCTAGCTGTACAAAAATGTAGTTAATCCAAAGAAATACTTGGTTCAATAAATTCAATAATAACGCAGCTCTCCCTTCAAACAGTAAAACTAGGTCTGGCGTACGGCGACGCACCACTCAGCAGATGTAAAGGCTGCAGCCAATTATACCCTTCCTGCTTTTTGACCAAGACCCTCTCTCACAGCTCGACTCTCTGATTCCTGTCCATTAGAGGTATCACAATACCCCCAGGCATTGCAGCTTTACACAAAGACGGTAGCTCATACGCTTTGCCGTTCAAAATCCTATCCACACGGCGGCCGCGGCCAGGGAGAGTTCTAGCATTCTGAAGGGTGGCCGAGCCTGTGATCCACTCGACACGAAGTTGTTATTGGTAAATGGGCTAGTATCGGTAAGAGGGGGCGGGATCGGTTCTGGACTGGGATCAGGTGATGGTACGGATGTTTGCGCTGAGGAGGCGGCGATAGTATTGCTTGTTGATGTGCTGTCCGGTTGATTGTTCTGGTCTACTGTTGAGGTTGTCGTTGGGTCGGGGATGTCCCCTTCCTGAACGGAAGATGATGGCCTCGTCTCCACAGTCAAAAACTTTGAGGTGACCTTGCTAGGTGAGGTGCTAATGATGGTTGTCGTGGTGGGGAGTTCAGATATGAAACCCTTTGCTAGGAGTTTGGCGGCGTCGAGCTTCGAAGCCGGCAGATCTTAATTTCTCTCGCCACAGCCGTCCTCCAAAGGGTCGAGGAAGCTGTCTTGATAGTTGCGGAGATCGGCATGGCAGTTGGTGTCCATGCATTTAAGAACCTTTTCGAGAAAACTTCCCCTTACTCGCTTGCACATACAATTGCCATTACTTGGCAAACAATCGGAATCCAATATGCAACCCCCTACGCATGGTGGAAACTCAAAAGAAGGTCTTGTCGATTCGACTTTTTCAACCAAAGACAGGAAGAAGGTCAAGCCAGCGAGGGCAAAGCCGACGTGCCGCAAGAATACCATGGCCTTCTGTTTTGTCACAACGTCTTGTCAGGAAGGCGGCATGCTAGCCCTTGGAAGGAAGAAAAATAAGAAAGAGAGAGAAAGCTCATCCACGCCAGCTGCGCAGCTTTGAACCATCCAGTCGCCATGTCACTCCAGGCATTGAGCCATAGCTAAACATCCCAAAGTTGGAGGGGACATGAGGCCTGATGGGATGGCCATGGTGCATGAGAGGCAGGGGGTCCATTGGAGGAGCAACATCTTGAAACAAACTGGCAAGGGTCAAAAGCTGGTTCAGCCTCTTTTGGCCAAGTTTTTACAAGTCCTTCTTAATCTCACATAATGGACTGGCCAATGAATCAAGGCGATCACCATCTTACAGTATTAATATGTGGAACGCCCCCAACGGCGGGGTGCCTGTGTAGATAGATGTTCAGCTGAAAAAAGTTGAGTGTACATCAGCACCAGCTAGGCACACCAGGGAAAGACAAGTCGTCAAGTGTGGATAGGGAGTGGGGACCGTGGATAGTGGGCAGGGGTTGCTCCGGTGGAGCCCGGGGCTGACTGACATGCGGGGTTCACTAAATTTTATCGATAAGAGCAGCGACAAGATGCCAAAATTTCCAAAAGTTGGATAGGCTCAACGATAAGATTAGAAAGGCTATTTGACCTGTTTAGCGACGCATCACTCGACCCTCACGGCAATAAAGCACCAGAAATCACCGAATTCCTCGATCGCCCCCTTTCGCCCTCCCCAATCCCACATAGACCTGCGAACCGATGGCGCCGACAAGACCAAAAAAGAAGTCGACCAAAGACAAGGCAAGGGACAGACTCCGAGCCAAAGCCGCCGCCGCGCAATCCTCAAATGTCAACCCCAGAGAGCTTCTCGTGCAAGCCGTCGGCATGCTCGAGGTCGGCGATGCGGAGGGCGCCGCCAAAGTCGCCAGGACAGCGTATGATCACATCGGAGACAACGGACGACAGGCTGGCGCCGCGCTGTCCCTTCTGGGTCAAATACATGTCGAGTTGGGAGAGGTTGACAGTGCTCGCCAGTTCTTCCTGTCTGCCGTCAAGGTGGATGAAGATGGTTCGCTTCCGGAAGATTTGGGTGGCGGTGCCGAAAAGTTTCTTTGGCTTGCACAACTAAGTGAAGAAGGTGGTCAAGACAGCGTTGGCTGGTTCGAGCGTGGTGCGGCCGCACTGCGTGCCCAGATTCAGACACTTACCGACGCACTAGAGTCACGGCCCCTTACCCGCGACGAACAGGAAGCTGCCATCAACGAGAAACGAAGAAAGCTGGCAGATACACTCTGCGCCGTTGCCGAGGTCTACATGACAGATCTCAGCTGGGAGGACGATGCTGAGAGTCGGTGCGAGGCGCTGATTACCGAGGCTATTATGCTGGCCCCTGAACAGCCAGATACCTGGCAAACTGTTGCAAACGTACGAATCTCACAGTCACGAACCGAAGAAGCGAAAGAGGCCTTGAAAAGAAGCTTGGGACTGTGGACAGATCTGCCGCCTGAAGACCCTGGGGTTCCTGCGTTTCCATCACGTGTCAGTCTGGTTCGGTTGCTGATAGAGGTTGGGCTGGAGGAGCAAGCGATTGAAGTTGCCGGACGTCTTGTTGACGAGGACGATCTCAGTGTGGAAGCCTGGTACCTTGGTGGCTATGGGAAATACATGCTGGGCCAGAAGTTGAAGGAGGTGGGGCAGACTGGCGATGCTGACAAGTGGAAAAGCGTGTGGCGTTCTTCGCGGAAATGGCTTATTCAGTGCATGAGGATTTTCGAGGCCGAGGAGTATGAGGACGAAAGGTTAGGGGAACATGCACGGGAATTGATGGGCGTTATTAGAGACGAGCTTGGCGAGGCTTTGGGGGATGATCTGGATGAGGATGTTTGGGAAGACACCGATGATGAGGCCGATGTGGACACAGATATGCAATAGCATGTGTCATGGTTTTGGTGGTCAAGAGGGTTCGCTGGAAGGGTGGACTTACGGATGAACCCACGAGCATTGAGGAGGCCACGCTCCATTCGGACTTCAAAATTAATACATGAGATATACCAGGAATGACTCCCCAGTGAAAAATACCATACCCTATGCGATCGTGTAGTTGAAAAATGTGGTACAAGCGTGCTCCTTTGATTGAAAACACACCTAGTTAGTTTTCACCAACCTCAAGTTTCTGAATTTCCTCAATGACGGTATCATCGTCAGCCTCATCTTGGCCGGCCGCTGCGAGGCCACGTTCCCAAAGCTGTTTTCCTGTGAGCTTTGTAGGCTCCTTTATCCTGGCTTTCTTCAACTCGGCCAGTCTTTCCTCCTCTTCCCTGATTCTGCCCTCCTCCATCTCTTTCAAGAACGACTCTCTCCACTTCAAGAATGTCTCGCGTGTAACCGGGGTTCCCTGAAACTTTTTATTCTCCTCACGTTCGGCAGCCAGCACGGCTTCTTCGTGTGCCTTCACGATAGCTGCTTTTCGATCCAGCACTAGTTGCTCTGCGGCTTCTTTGAGTGTCGAGACCAAAGTGAACACCATTGCGATCCCAAGATTTTCTTCGATCGTTGCGTCCAACCCCCGTAGAAGTTGCTCCTTGTCCTCGGCGATGTTGAGGTGTGGGTGAGGGATTGCGTTCTGTGACGCCGAGAGCTCTAGGAATGGTGCCTTGTCTGGATATTCCTCGGGGTAGCGCACAGTAAGGAGCATAATCGGAGGTTCCTCCTTGTCATCTGGGATATCGAGGGCGATCGATATTCTGTATTCAGTCTCGGATATGTCTGGAAGGTGGTGGACTATCTGTCAGTTCACTGCCTGCCCAGAGCCATGCACGATGAACGGACCTGTAATCTCGTCTGGAAAGATAGAGTCCAGAACCTCTCTTTCCTCAATTTGATCCTCACGCCCCATCTTAAGTATCTGTGCTGTAAAGAATAGCGGCTTTGTGTCGTTGTTGATGTCCTGGCCAGGCGGAGGACCAGGTCTTCCTGTGAGCACTTGGAACGAAGTGGGTGGGGTTGGATTTACTCTTTGCTGATGGGAGTGTGGTTCGTCTGGTGGATTTGCTGGTTTGTTGGAGGAGGGGCACAACTTTTGGACGTGGGGTCTTGCGTCCACCCCGGCCCGCCAAGCTCAAGCTAGTCTGACCGCCTGGCAGAAACAGGGATCCTAGGAATTGGCTTCCAAAAAAATTTCGGCCAAAGCAGAACTGGTAGCGCAGCATTTCGAGTTTGGCGGGTGAGCTCAACCTTGGATCGATCACCATTCAACACCTCTCGAATTGCTTCACTCTTCAGCGGCGGACATCAAAATGGCGCCAAAATTCTCGGAGCCTAGCGTAAAGAGAAAGGTGCATCACAACGATGGGAGCAGAGCGAAGAAGGCGAAGACTATCACCGGGCCGAAGCACAAGAAAGTCGAGCCAAAGGCTTCTGAAAGTGATGGCGCCACCTTTTCCGACTCGGACGACGGAGGCGCTGCTTTGAAGCAGGGGAAAACAGCGAACGGCCAGGCCGCTGGCAAGGCGTTGGAGAAAGGTTTGCTGTCCTTGCCTGTGAGACTCGAGACTCAATTCTATCGGTGTTAACAAGCCAACAGGACAAACCTCCCGCGAGGCTCATGCGAAGCAGAAACAGTTGGCGCAAGAACGTAAAGCCGCGAAACCATTGGCGGACGAGGTTCAGCGGACGAAAAAATTGTGGGAGAGATTGCGCCGCAAGTCGCATGTGCCCAAGGAGGAGCGCCAGCAACTGGTCGACGAGCTCTTCTCCATCATTACCGGGCGCATCAAAGACTTCGTATTGAAGCACGACGCCGTGCGCGCTGTCCAGACGGCCATCAAATACTCAACCCCAGTCCAAAGGAAGCAGATCGCGAAGGAGCTTCAGGGTGCCTATGCGCAACTTGCTGAGAGCAGATATGCCAAGTTCCTCATCGGCAAACTCCTTGTCCAGAACGACACCGAGATTCGCGACATCATCATCCCCGAGTTTTATGGGAAAATCCGCAAGCTTATCAACCATTCCGAAGCATCCTGGATTCTGGACGACATCTACCGTGGGGCAGCCACCAAGGAACAGAAGGCCCATATGTTGCGAGAATGGTACGGGCCCGAGTTCGCCTTGTTCAAGTCGGGAAATAAGGGCGAGGTCACGGCCGACCTGTCCAAAATTCTTGCTGAAGAGCCAAGCAAGCGGTCGACAGTCCTCAAATACCTCTGTGATATGACCAACAACCTGATCCAAAAGAAGATGACCGGGTTCACAATGCTGCACGACGCCATGTTGCAATATTTCCTCAACCTCAAGCCCGACAGTGAAGAGCTCAAAGAGTTTGTTGAGGTCGTCAAGGGTGACGAGAATGGCGATCTGCTCAAGAACATGGCCTTCACCAAATCTGGCGCGCGTTTAGCCTGCTTGCTCTTGGCCCATGGGAGTGCGAAGGACCGGAAGCAAATCCTCAAGACATACAAGGACACATTTCAGCTCATGTCGGGTGACCCTCATGGGCACATGATCCTGTTGGCTGCCTACGATCTCATCGATGACACAGTTTTGACCTCCAAGTCAATCTTTCCAGAAATCTTGGGCAAGGCCGAGGACCTAGACCCGGGGAACATTACTTTCATGGCGAACGACCCGAACGCACGCATCGTGTCCTTGTACTTGTTCGAAGGCCAGTCCAAATCACTGTTCCCATCGAGCCATGCCGATGATTTGGAATTGCTCAGCGAGCTCCACGAGATCCGCAAGACTACGAGCAAGAAGGACGCCGAGGTGAGACGCAAAGAGCTGGTAGCATCCATGTCCCCACAGATGCTGGCCGCCGTAGCGGCCTTTGGGAAGGAACTTGCGGCCACTTCGTTTGGTTGTCAATTCATCGCCGATATTCTCCTGTCTTCCGTTGGGGACAAGACTGCCGCCCTCGAGGCTGTTGCTGCCACAGCGGCTGGTGAGCCTAACCCTGCTCTCCCCGAGGATGCTGATCCTCCCTACCCCCCACCACCACACCTTTCCCTTACACCTCACGGAGGCAAGCTGTATAAGACCCTCATCGCCGGTGGGCGGTTCGATAGGGAGACGGGAACCGTCAAAAGAATCGAACCGCCCCTTAACTTCGCCGACATTCTCTACCCTGTCATAAAAGACCACATCATGCAGTGGGCACTTGGGCCAAGCTCGTTTACAGTGTTGGGTTTGCTTGAAGCCCCGGATTTCTCGTCAAAGAAAGAGCTTCTCAAACTCCTCAAGTCGGAGAAGAAGACTCTTGAGCGTGCCGCCACCGCTGCTGAGACCACGGCGGAGGGTGTGAAGCCCAAGTCGAAGAACAAGGACAACGGCTCCAAGTCGAAGTCGGGAGGTAACCAAGGCGCAAGACTGTTGTTGGAAAAGTTGCAAGCATAGAATATAGGGCAAAGTGTGCAGCGTGCGTGGATGGGGTGCTATGAACATGATGGATAGGGGCACATACAGCGCAGAGGCTTCACTAATAAATAAACCTAGTGTAAACACATGGACACTCTGCCATGATGGCGTTATCTGTAGACTGAAGTGACTGGTCGGTGACGGTTTTTTCCAAGCCAGAGGACCTACCTTCCTCATGCTCCATTCCGTGTAAAGGGACGAGGTGAGTTCTGGCGTTACACCTCCCCGGTGGAAGACGGCGGTGTCACCAGACAAAGCTAGGTCTGGCAATAGGCATTGAGATAAAATGTTCACTTCCAATGCTTCGCCCATACACTCACACATGCAGCCTGGAGGTTCACAGAGTAGAAGTTGCACAACTTCTCCTGCCACGTGCTTGAATTCACTCCTGCCGGACCATCCTGGGCACCCAAGCCAGGTTTTGCATGGATCACCAGTGAATCCACATCGCAATTCCCGGATTTTCCGATATCCTTGGTGGGGCGCCATCTAGAAACAGGTTGGGTTGAGGCTTGACAGTGTGTCCACGATGATTTCGTTGCCAGAAACAACCAGCTTCGACTCATCATCTCAAGTCTGCGCAAATGCGAGTGGGTATCTGTGGTATATTTGTACCTTCACCACGCCCTGGTATGCCGGTTGCTGCGACATCAACCCTTGTCACCCACAACCCGTGGGCTGTCCGCTCACTGCTCAGGGAGAGCCAGTGACGTACACGATATCCACATTCACATCGCCATCCTCGCGTGGAGCTACCGCGACCATAACAACTACCGCCGACATCTCTTCGCAAACAACGCTCCCGGTCTCCATCTTTCCGGCCACCCAAGAGGACAACCAAGAGGACAGCCATGGTATGACGATCTCAATCAACGCTCTCGTCGGGGTCGTGGTGGGCTGTACCATTGCGGTCATATTCGTGGCCCTCGTAACTTGCATGTGGTGGAGTCGGCGACGGCGGGAAAGGGATGAGAAGCGTCAACAAGCACAGAGACTGGCATCGCCACGGCTTGTGGACGAGGAGCTTGTTCCCCCGGGCCTAGAAGGCGTTTTCAACCCCATGGCTTCGGATGGCCCAGGCAGTATTTTCGATCGCGCTGAAGGTAAGCCTAGCTCTCCTCGAAATCTGGGCTGTTTGAGATATCCGAGCTGACTGTTAACTGCTCGTCAATCAAGGCCGCATGTCCAAGATATCTCACGAAAGCGGATCGTTCCCCATCCTACCACCACTAGGCGATAGTTACTTGAGCGGCAGTACGCCCAGAAAACTTGCGACGAGCCCACTATCACCAAACACGCCAAACACTTCATCAACTATGCCCAAATCTGCCGAGCTCGACTCAAGCCCAATGTGCGAACTTTCCTCTTCTGACCCCCCCAAACACGGAAAGTTGCCATATCCTCAACAGGAAGACAAACCCCGTGCTGACCGACCAACCGCGGGCGACGCTGAACAGTACTCAGCGAGAACGAGAGTCCAACACATGTGTAAATAGCTGGACAAGGTTCCAAAACGTTCAACTTTGAAAACAAAGCTGAATATGGGCAGGCATTCCTGATCGAATATGTCATTTTCATATCATCTAATGGATCAAGGCATGACCTGGTCAAAACGTCAGAAATATATATATATGCATTTCTTGCAAGGGATTGTGCCCCCGGCGATCTCAATGATTAACTACTAACTCGAGAAGGGGTCGAGGAATCGGTCAGTCGATAGACTTGGACGAAAATCACACTGTCAATTAGAACCTTGGGCCATAAGATGGGATAATACAACCTTCATTTTCGGTACCATTGCCTGCTGTCCTGCTGTCCCAGCCGACCTAGTCATCCCCTCTTTGTATAACGCCGAGAAAAACAAAACGCCTAAATAACCTGCCCTCCTGACGCCGTTGTGCAATGCATTTTTGTCATACCCCTTTGCAAGACGTTTGTTGATGACCACGCACGTCCATCATGCGACGCTTCCCGACTCGACTCGGTATCGAGGAATTTGACCTGGGGATGTTGATCACAGAAGCTTCTCCAATTCATCCAGCAGCTCTCCCAAGTCCTCGTCGCTGATTTTGTCCGCCAAGGAAGGAATCAAGGTCTTGCACTCATCGGCGGTATCGCAGCAAAGGGATCCTAGAGGGACAAGAGTCATCGTTAGCCAGTTGTAGAGGTCGCAGCGGACAAAACAGTCGTCGTCTGCCAGCCCAAAATGCGGATGCTGAAAATGCAAAACATACCAATCTGGGCCCTTTCGAATTTGCTCAATTCCTTGTGCGTGCTCAGCAGCCGCTCGACAGCCTCCACATTCTCCTTCGCCTTGAACCGAGCAAATGCATCGAGGTAGTCGAGTGTCTGGTTGAGCGCGTCCGTCTCGTTCCGGTCCTTGCGATCCTTTTTTCGTTTGGCCATGAGGGCGTTGATGACGAGTGACGCTTCCGACAGTGTCAGCGTGTCGACGTCCTGGAACTCGCCCAGTTTGAGAACAGCGCCTGCTTCTTCTTCACCGGCCGGTGGGGGTTTTGCCCGCGAGGTAGGAGCGTGTTTCTGATCCGACATTGTTGAGTCTGTTATTCGGCTGCGTTGATTGGCAAAGGTAGATCCAAGTCTGTACCGCCAGTATGGGTGGTAAGTAAAAGGATGGACTTGGTCGATTTGGCCTTGCTTGCGGACGTGGAAACTAGTGGTCGCACGAAGAATAAAGGAACCGATTGTATGCTGCGAACACAAAGGATGGAGGGACCTGGTGGGTTCTCTTGGTTCTTCTTTGATCACTTGTCAAAGTTCCCTCTCAATGGAAGAGGTGCTATACTCTAAATTCGCCATATCGTCACAGTTCGACCTTGGGGCTGCCACTCATTGGTGGATCCTTTGGCTGTGGCTGATGTTGCCAGGTGGGAGACCGGCAAGGCTGGCACTGTGCTGGAAGATTCTGCTGGCTGCACTGTGTACGTCTTTGGTGGGGGCCTGCATCTGGTTCGCCTCAACCTTGCAGCTGCGGGCTTGGGCTGCACTAACAGCTTGAGGAGACACAAAAGTGCCAAGATCCGCAGCCTCTCAACATCTGGGGCAGCCCAAGTCCAACCTCGCTAACAGACTTAGGAGACTCAGACGCAAGGCTCAGTAGATCAATGCAAGTGGTTCCATCACTCGATACATAATCAACTCGGAAACTACGAGAACTGCCTAGAGTCGCTCGCTAAACTTTTGATTTGGAAATGGCATCATGAGCGACACCAATCTCTTGCATTTGTGGCTCACAGGGCATTTGCCCAGTGAAAAGAGCCCCTGATGGGCCTATCTCTCCCCCTTCCAACCCCCTCTCAACACCCTCAGTCCATCCGTCTCTTGCGCGCACCCAGCAAATAGTTGCTCTGTAAGTAGCTGCTTTGTAAGAGACAGCATCTAAATACCGATATCCACCCCATCAGACATGCCTTACCCCAGTCGCTTCCGAGTTCAAGCAAGCCACATGCCAGCGTATTGGATCGTTCGTGTAATATTTCGCTGGTTTCCATCACTCAATGCAGTTGTAGCTGCACTCCGCTCGAACAACTCCAGTGCAAAATTATGCTTTAGCAATTGCTTCGCAATCCATCAACTTTGCCAAGTCGCCATCATTAGATACCTTGACCCTTCGCACATGAATACCGCACAAAAGACCACAACCTGAAGGCAGCTTGATCTGCGACCCTTTCGCCAGATAGACATCCGACACTGTGTGGCGGTCGATCCGGCAAATCCCCATGGCTCCCCCAGGCATTGTACCCCACCGTCTATCAAAGAGCAGAAAAAACAAATAACTACATATCGAGTCAGCAGAGAAACCAAACATAAACATGTCGTCGGCTGGGAATCTTACGTTGTTGGTAGCCGCAATTGCAATGCTGTCTTCAAAGGGATGCCAGCTCATGTGAAGAATCTTCTTGTTGAAGTCGATCTGGTCAGCATCCGTTTCCTTACGCATGCGTTGACCCTGCCCCGGAGCTGCTGGGCTTCCGGCGCGCGATCCCCCCTTCTTTCCATTAGCTGTCGGGCTTGTTGATGAGTTGATGGGAGTGGGCACGCCAACTTTCTTGGCCTTGAAAGCAGATTTGTCGGCCTGAAGAACCACTTCAACCTCCTTCTCCGGGTCTGAAGGATATATCATGAAGTTGTTGTTGTAGCTTCCTGTCATGACATTCTTTCCATCGCCCGAAAACACCACCTCAAACTTGTCGAAAATGCTATCATTCTCGTACGTGTCACAGAGCCTCGGTCTGAGATGCTCGTGAATCGGAATGGTTTTGATCGGCTGCCTCTCCATGGCGACGTCCCAAATCTTCACAGTCAAATAATCGCGGGAGAGGATGTATTTGCCGTCGTATGAGAAGCGAACATCCGAGATGGACGAGATAATCTCAGAGAAGAATGAGCGGGAGGACGGATCTTCCTCCTGTTCAAACACTACATTGGTAAGAGCCAGGTTAGTTCATCATTCCAGTGACATTCCACGGATGCGAGTCCCGTCAACTACTCACTCTTGGCGTGCTGGTCACATAGAGCCCGCTCACGCATGTCTGCCAGCTTGATAGTGCCCTTGGAACTGGCATACATGAACCAGTTGCAGCTGGTCGGATGAAACTCCGCCGCTGTGATGACTTCAGTCAACTCCTCCATATTTGCGGGCTTGATGTCAACAATGTTGAAGCTCTGGTCTTGAATATTCAGGTTCCAGAGGTTGATGCGCAGATCGTCGCTGCTAATAAAGGTTTCGCCGTCACTATTGACTGAGATGCTGTTAATATGATACGCATGGGCGTTGGCATATGTCCGCCGAGGCACAGCCGCCACGACAGTATCGTGGTGAGTTAGTCTCGGCAGCTTCAGATCATTCGCGGACCGAAATTGGGCGGTGGGAAGGGCGCGAGGGGCGCCGCCTCCCCCATGAACGTTCGCCGGGGTGGCATCGTGCGAGAGATTGTTTTCGGCCACAACCTTCAGTGACTTTTCAAAAACCTTCCATAGCTTGATCGTCTTGTCGTTGGTCGAGAGTAAATAGTGTGAGGCGTTCTGTCGTCGGCACCACTTGATCTTGTTGATCTTCTCCTCAATCTCCAACGATTTGAGGTAATCGAACTCGGGCTCGTGAGACTGAAACTCTGTATGGAACTTGTATTCGCACGTTTTTTTCTGCCTCGCTGTGTCAGTATGAATCTCCCGAGGCTGAAATGCCAATATCAAGATCCCGGACTGACCGTCTCATTACGCTCGAAGAGCACAACTCTGCCACCCTTGTCGCCAGTTGCAAGATAGTTGCCGGTGTGATCGAATTCGACCGTCGAGATGATGTCGGCTGTTCAAGGTGGGGTCAGCCAATGCTCACAGAAAACAGCGTGAGCTGCAAGAGGAGAGAAGTATGTGTGATAAGAGCACCAAGATACCTCGGGGGGTGTCGTGTGCCGTACCTTCCGTGATATCCTCAACGTCTCCCTTATCACCGAAGCACCTGAAGACAGAAACGGTTAGCATACACGCGGAGAACAGCAGAGCAATGCTCAAGCAGCATGTCAATGTGAACAGACGGCAGCAAAGAATTGAAAGGAAAGCGGGGAAGCGGTGGGGGACCAGGGCGGCGATCAAGATACTTACTGGGTGAACTTCCATGTCGGTACGTTCGCTTCTGTGTCTACCATCTTCGCAACCTGATATCGTGGGCCGAGGGAGGTCCCTCTCTGCCACTAAGCGGTATGAAAAAAGAAGAATCGGGCAGCTGGGGCTGATGATGACGGGCAGCCAAGGTCCAGGGGGGATGATGGACCAACGACGTGGGTGACACGCGATATCGGGCGGGGTTCAGGTCGAGGAATGTACCGAAGTCCCGGAAGATGGACAGAAGCTAAAACGCACGATGGTGAAGCGATCTGGCGAGCAGGTCGAGTGGTGTATGAGCTGGGATGCTGGCGGGACGGAGGCTCAAACGGCCGGGAGCTTTGCTGTACGAGTCTTGGGAGGACGGGCGCGGGGATGCGTGTGCGAATGCTCTATTGCTGTGCCGCCTAGACGTGGGCAGCGATGAAAGATGAGGGGTGAGAAAAAAGACTGATCTGCGGATCCAGGGCAGAATTCAACTGAAGATGCAAGGCAAGTGCGGGGGGTGCGCGTCTGAAGCTGGGACACACCGACCGTGGGTAACTGCTTGTCGAAAAAGCTTTGGGAGAGATGGAGATGTTGGAAACAAGTCAAGCTCGAAATGACGGGGAGTCGGTGTTGGCGCAATGACCTTTGGTAAGTGGTGGGTAGGTGCGCCCAGATCGGCCACACTAGGTAAGGGTGAATGGTCCAGAATGGGGCCCCGAAAGCATCAGGCACACAGTGCGAGACCGTGCCACTCAGCTCTTCTTGCACACAATTGACCAAAGCCAGCACAGCTGCTTAGCCTGCGCCTGGCCTGAACAGCGCATACAAACCCGACCGGGCATTCTTTGGGCACGATCTTGCTGATTCGGGGCAGTGGAATTTGGCTCCTTCACATCCAGCACCGAATTCCTGCTGCTCCACGGAAAGAATCTCCCTCCTCGTTCGCACACACACACACACACCGCCGCCCCCGCCCACCCGCAGCTGTACCTAAGCTTTTAAGCACCGACTTAGATATACAGGAGCGACCTCCTTGAGCTGGATAAGCCCAACCAGTTCAGGCTCGGATCTGTCGGTAGTACAAGGGACAGGCGACTCGTGTCAAGCGGTCAAATCACATGCCAACAGTGCCTGTTGTTGTCAGCAACGTGGAGGGCGTTTGTTGAATAGGACTTTGCGCTGAGCTATTAGCCTCTTACGGTGTTTATTGGTCCCAGCCATCTACCAGCCGCGCCTACAACAGTCGGCTATTCTGCTTCAGGGGTTACAACATCCAAATGGGACATCAGTCAACGGGACCTGATGAAGGCGCCGAGAAAGGGAAGGCCAAAGATCGAGAAACTAGACACGACCAGGACAAATCTATTCACAACGGCGACCCTCAGACCCAAGATACCGGGTCGGCCCTCGCGCGGATTGCTCAGTCAGCCGCCTCCTTACCGTCGTATCTCATGTCAGGGGCCCCAGAAATAGGTCCTGGTGGAAGCGAAAAAGGGGAGGGTTCCCGAGTGGGACAAGCATTAGCAAGAGCTGGTGATAGTTCTGTCCGGATACAGACAGACCCTTCAGCTGGTGGGACGTTGAGGCCTGGGCATACCGAGGCGCACATGGCTGAGCAAGATGCGTCGTTTGCGGCGTTTCTGGATAGTGACGATGTTCCCATGCTGTCAGAGCCCGCTGGGCTGGAAGAAGCCTGGCAGTCGACTACCGCAGCAACGCCGGCTTGGGTGCCATCCCAATCTGTACAGGAACAGATGGCAAAAGATGGCGCCGACGTGGTGGCCTTGCTGTCTGGACAAAGCGGTCCAGAGCCCGACCTGCTCCCAGAGGAAGCAGTTTCGCAAGCAGACCTGGCAAGTCTACGAAAGGCTCTCTTTGGCGAGGATGCAGGGCGATCAACAGCTGCTGTTGCGTGGGATAATGTCCTCAACTTCATCCCTGAATACCTTCGAGCGGACCCCGCTGCGGGCGGCAACACTGAGCTTTACTCGCACCTCGGAGCAGAAAACACCGATGAGGCCTGGCAATCATGGCTTGACCAGTGGTCTCGGGTGCTGACGGACTATCAAGACGAGGTTTGGGGTGATCTCAACGCGCTGGTCGATGACGCTCGCGAGGAGATCAAGAGGATGGAGGAAGTCAAACCAGGGGAGAGGCCCCCTGAGCCCAAAGCACTCCTCCGTCTGCGTGCCATTCTTGGGCACTTGCGAGGGACGTAGGCACATACTCGTCTGTCATACTGCCTGCCTGATGCCCCGCGGATGCTCGTCGTGGCAGTAAACCGAACGATTACCCCGCCGAAACCCAACAGACAAGGGTTCCTTATCGGACCCGATATTGTGTTGCTGTGCCAGCAATCAATATGACATCACAACGTGGATTGCGCGCCTTTGGTTGGTCAACACATCTTGCCCTCAAGCTCCTTTGCAGTGCCGCTGAGCTGGGCCTCACTCACCGCCCAGCTATCCAAAAGAGCTCACTGCTTGCACCTATCTAGCAACCTTGTACTTGTATTTGTATGAATGTAGCAAACCATACCAACCACATATGCAGCATTAGTTTATGCCATGCATCTAGTCTGCCTATCGGCTCAGTTTGTCGAGTGAATCCATTGATTTTCATTGTATCTGGAGATACTCAAACTCGGTCATACAGGACCCCCACCGTCACCTCGTACTACATATCCAAGAGGACCGGACCACCACATCTACCCCCCTCTCGGCGATCAGCCATCAGCACAAGGGGTGTCCAGCAGATAACCGTCCTCCAACCCAAATATGAGGACCAGACGATCCGCTTGCCTACCAGCGCCCTTGAGCACGCTACTGCTGGCCCTCACTGCAGCATGCTCTGCTTGCGCCAACCTCCAGCCGTTCCAGCCTGCTGAGACAGCCGCCATTGTCGCAAAGCGGCAGCAAGGATGCCTCTCCAACTTTTACAGCTGCGCGAACCAAGGTCCCGCATTCAACGGCGTCTGTTGTCAAAACGGACAGACATGCGGTCTAGACGCTAATAATGAGCCGGCGTGCTGTCCAGCTGGGTGAGATAAACGTTCCCTACACCAAGAAGGCATCTTCCACAGAATGGAAAATTGTGTAGCTAACCATTGACCCTCCTCTCCCGCTTCGTCGCATCAGCGCTATATGTACCGGCACCGCACCCGCAAGCTTCGTCACCCCCGTCCCGGCAGCCACGACCGCCGTGTCCTACGTCGCGAACAACTTCTTCTCGTTCCCCTATGTCGCCACCTACTTTGCCAACAGGGAGCACTGCTCGGCCGCTGCCAGGCAGTGCGATGCCAACCACGAGGCATGCCAGTCGCAACTTCAGGGCCTTGCCGGCGGGGCAGGATATGCCGTCACCATCGCCGTTCCGGGGGGGGGAGGCACGACTGTGACGGCCGCGGCTGGGGTCACTTATGAGCCTGCTCGGGCGACAAGCATATGTAAGCATGAGTTACACTTCCCATACACAAACATTTATGCCCCTCCGGGGTAGGTTCCCAACGCCGTTGGCTGTTCGGTATGGCTTACTTGTTCATTGCAGGCAGCAGCTTGTCCAGCGTGGCGTGCAACGGGCTTCAGGCTAGCATGTGCACGATGGAGGGGACAACCGCAAACGGCTTCTACTTTGGGTCTGGGAATGCAGCCCCAAGACCCACGGCTGCTGCGGTTGGTGTTGTCGGTGCTGTGGCGGCCGGCGTGGCAGGGCTCAATCTCATGAACGGTTTCTAAAAGGCATAGATTCGGCGGTGGAGTTGGTCTTTTGTGCTGAGTTGCCATGGGATAGCAAGCAAGGGCGTTGATGATATGTATTTGGACAATGTGTCTTGCAACGAAATGAGCAACGACGTGGAATACCCGAGTTAGAAAGCTTGGCTCAAAGTCTCGCTGGAAAGAGAAAGTATCTTGTAACATGCAGGCGGTCCTGAAAGGGCCCAATATCACACGTGACAAATCACGCATCACCATGTCAAAGGGAAGTGGCAGGCCGCTGAGAAACAGAACGCATGATACCAATTATACCCGTTTTGTGCGCCATCGCTAAAAGAACAAGATACTGAGACCCCTTTGACCCTTTATATATAACCTTGGAAATCCATGCCACCCAGCCAAACCTGCCCTCTACCCATATTTTACACATCCAGAGAGCAGCGGGCTTCCAGCCCGGATTTGGCAATACATAGTATGCCTTCAAAATAGCCCGAAAAGACTTGTAGAAAATATAAGAGATAGAGCGCTTCACAATCGACAACAACAATGACACTTGGTTCTACCGTCTTTCATCGATGACCTCAGCCGAGGTGCCCAAAAGATCAGTCTCACGATCGACCCTGTTTATGCTGCCTTTAGCAACAAACCCGTACCCGGCAGGTCTTTCGTCGCTGCTGCCTGACCGGTCGTTTAGTTCAACTTGACTGAAGTCCTCGGTGACCCCCGCGGAGGACCCAGACAATCTCTTCTGCGAGGGTGTCCGTTCGAAGGGAAGCCGCGAAGAGGTCGCACCGGATGGGGCGAGATTGCTTGACCGACCTGCTTCACTGGGTAAAGATAACTGTGGCACCTGGACCTGGGGGTTCGAATTCCTTTTTGAGCTTCGTCTGGGGACATTTGGGACCTCGATTTGCAATGAACTATTGGGGCCCGGCCTCGCGGATGTGGTGGGGGAGCGAGAGGCTATCCCTGCATCCTCATCGGTTTGTGAGGGTGGTGCGTCAACAGCTGGTGCACTTCCCAGGCCGTCAAGCTCGTCATCCTGCTGGCTTCCCCGGCCATTTAAGGGTTCTTGCTCTGGCACGTCTACGTCTGTCGAGCGTAGAGCATCGTTCTTTGACCGTGTCCCATCGTCAGAGTCAGAGTCAATCGGGCCGCTGCGAAGAACGCCCATAGCTACAGGAATTCCTTGGGGCGCTCGGTCGTCTTCAAAGCCCCCATTCAACGCCTGCATCGCAGGTGGCATCCGTGAACTTCTGACCACTTCAAAGCCCTTTCCCTTATCCTTGCCTTTAGGCGCAAACATATTCCTGAACCAACCCGCCGCAGAAGTCATTGGTCTAGTCGGATCAGCGGGCCCAGTCCTCAGCTTGCGACTCGGCGCATCCGAGTTCAACCTCTGGCCTCTGACTCCGTAATAAAAGTCCGCTTCTCGCATGGAATAGTCAGTCCTGGCGGGACCAAAAGGAACCACATACGGCGCGGGTGTGGCATCCCTTGATATCTGAGTGCCAATTTCTAGGGGGTCGTTCAGTTGCACCGTCCCAGGTTCGCTAAGGCGTTTCTGAGCCCAATCACTGCTCGTCCATGACCCTCCCACCTTGGTGGTAGGCGAATAGGTCGTTTCAATAGTAGGGCGCCGTTGCCTCGGTGGTCGATAGTACGGATCTGGAGCCTGCATGGTCATGGAACCCTGGGGCCTACCGGGGTGTCCAGGAGATGGCAGGAAAGAAAAGTTGCTGGCTTCTCCCGGTGTCGTGGGTGTGTAAGAGCCGGCAATGCTCTCCAGTGGACGCGCGGGACCGTCAAAGCTAGGGGTGTTGAACCCGGACGAGCTTCTATGCCGGTGATGCATCATGACACCCATGCTCCCGGCCGACTCACTCCTAATGCGTCCACCAGGCATGATGTAGCCTGCTTTCGATGTTTCGTCGACATCCAGCATGGCAGAACTTGAGAGCTGGCTTTGGCGAGATGGGCCGGTTTCACGCCGAGACATACGGCGGGAAAGCTGTCTCATGCCAAAGATTTTGGACAATCCACCTCGGGACTGACCCCGAATATCATCACCGCCAGCCCCTAGCATACGGGCAACAACCTCGACAATAGTCTGGACTGCGTTCAAGAGAAATCCAAGCACAAGAACGCCAGCGTGAGTGATGAGAATCGCATAGCCGATCCAGCCCTTTTCACTCTCAGGAACACCGAGTGATGGCACGAACACCACCATCAGGAGCACTGTGACAAGACGCAGCGCAGAGAAAAGCGTGTGGTAAGCATTCATGGATGTCGCTGAGTGAAACGGCCGAAAAGCGTGCAGCGTAAGGACATGTATCACCTCGCAGATAGCAAGAATGACGACCTGAGCGACGCCAGAAGGCTGCACGGCTCCCATTGCTATGCCGCGGACGAAATTCAACAGCACAGGGATCATAGTGAAAGCTGCGGCTTCGTCCGAGTAAGTGTTGTACAGCGGGCCATAAAGGAGAAGCGTCGGGAGGTCGTCAAACAGGAAAGCTCGAGGCTTGGTCTTGGCAACAAGAAAAAGCAGCCAACCTGCAAATCCGATAATCAAAATCAGAGCCAGGACAGCGACCACCACCGTGTAGACCGGCGACTGGCCAGCGATGACGAGCTGAAACGTCGATAGGGCGACAATCGGCATCAGGAAATAGTTCAAGACAATCCTGACAACATTGCCGAGAGTAAATGGTATGTTTTTGGCGCGCAAGTCTTCTTCCGAGACCTTTTGGAAGTAGCGATAGAGCCACTGAACAACAAACCCGGCCTGTACAAGGACAGTTATAGCGGCAATGATGACCAACACCCAGATAATAGTGCCAGTCCATATATCCTCAGGGTTAGCCATGCCGGCCAGTTGGGCGAGGCGTTGCAAGCCATATGCACCGTCTGCAACATAAATACCGTCCCGAAGACTGACCCATCCAGGGTCCTGCGTGACAAAGCTCTGGTTGAACATGAGTGCTGACCACGCTGCCTGACTGACGATAGGCTGGTAGAATCCTGGGTAGTTTAGCGTCAGGCCGCCAGTGAGGACGACGAACTGAATGTACTGAAGGCAATCTCCAAAACCAGGGGTGACAAGTCGAAGGAGATCGGGGTCACGACCGTAGTTGGAGCTCCAGTGGAAGACATCGCTGGTTCCCCAGGGGCTGAAAACTGCTGCAAATACTGTTGCCGCACCCACAAAGACCAGAACAGCCAGGGGTAGGAATTTCAACATCCAAGCCAAACTTCCCAGATCTGGCGTCACGTTGGCTGTCACGCAAGTGATGATTTCAGCCTGATCACCATAAATAACCTCAAAGGACGTCGAGAACGATCCAAAAGCATACGACGAGTAGAAATCGTTGCTGATTGACACAAACGGCAGTTTGTCTTTGACTAGGCTATATGACGCTGTCAGCACTACACATTCACGACCGGGCCCTTGAGCTCCGTAGATCAAAAGGCAGGCCTTTCCCTCGCTGAGTGTTCGCTCCAACTTACCCAAAGTCAGATCCATTCCAATAGCCAAAAACAGGCCCAAGGGGGCATGCTCCGTTCTTCAACTCATCATTGCAAAAGTCGGTAAGATTGGACCAAGGCTCATACGTCAAGACTTTGATCCTGGCTCTCAACGTGGTGAACTTATTTACGTCGGGCACCCCCAGAAGCTTGCCGTCGGTTTTATTCGGGTCAGCCCAGTCCGGACTGGTCGCCGGCGGCAATGACACCGGTGTGTACGAGCCCGTCACATTCCCCCACAGCGTAACCCGAAGAGAGTGCCTATCGGTTGCTTCGAAAGTAGCATCGATGTGTATGGGTTCCCACTGCAGCTTTGGCGGTTGACTGTTTCTGTAGGTGTCTGATAGACAGTTCTCAAACGGCACGGAGGCAGCGGCAGCCGGACGGGTGAGGGGGCTCAACAGCAATATCAACACAGCGGGAAGGCGGAGGAAGGACCGCAGTTCGGATAGCCGGGAACGAGGGCCTGTGTGGCGGACAAAATCGGACGACAAGATGTCAGGCGAAGGGCTCCGACCCGTCATGGCGACGACCGAAGATACGGACAACCCATCGGCCGCATGCCGGGGCCGATCATGGTAGCCACGGGCTCGGACGCCACGGGGCTCAGATGGCGACTCTGGATGGAAAGGGGGCTTGGGTGTAACTGGGATGTCGGGAGCATCGACGTCTCGCATGTTTAGCAGAGCTGCTGTGTTGATGTCGGCAGCGTCAGGGGGAGTGTCGACCGTCTCGATGTCTTGAACACGCCGGTAGAACGAATAGGCTGCCGGCGGTCTTGCACTGTTGAAGAAAGCTGGGCCTGTCGGCAGAATCGGCGATTGTGGTAACGGCGCAACGGCAACGGACTATGTGCTGTGCATCTTGGAGTGTACGTCGTCTTGCAGTCCCAATCTGACGAGTGCCTGTCTTTTTCGAGTTCTGTCGGTTCGATATGTCGTCGGCGGGCCTTTGGGGACTGGAAAGAATAGGAGCGACAGGATAACGAGCGTCAGCCCCGGACAGGAAGGACGCGCACGAGTGTGGAAGGATGCTTTGGGTGGTGTCCCACACCAGGTAGCGCTTTTGGAACTTGGAGGAGGCAGTGCTGGGTAACATGCACGGCCTCTGTTTGGTTAGCGTGCGCGCCAGGGACCCAGGAGATTGTGACAGCCCGTGGGCGGGTCTTGCCCTGGTCTGTGCACTGACATATGTAGAACCAGGCCTCAAATGACGTGGATTTCCATGACTGCTGGAATAGGCTTGACAAGTCTTCAACTGCTCAACTGGCTTCTTTCTGTCTGTACCTCCCTAATGCACTGATTGATACAGGGAGCAAAGAGTCAATCAAGGTCATGACGTTTTCTACTCCTCCCCAATGTTACAGCGTTTCTTGCCAACTTGCCCAACACGAGGTTAATGGATTATGGATTACTATGGATCAGCGGGAGCGGCCTTGATCGTGACCCTGCTATTAAGGCACTTGTTATACCTCCATCAACCTCTCCGGAACCTTTGTGTTCTGCCGCCCAACCAAGAGGTGGCCCGCTGTATGACTGCAGCGGCCGGCCAGTCCGTCACACCTTTGGGGTCGGAACCAGGCCTGGAGATAGGGTGAACATTATCAACGGCACGTTTTCTTGAGACCAAGTGACACGCCTCGCATGAAAATAAGACACCAAAATTACCAATTGATATTTAGCACGCTGTTTCTCTATCATCCCCCTTCAACTCCCTTATTAACTTTGTCAGAGTATGCCTCCCGGGTATCTCCTATCATCGTCATCCCACTTCGTATTCCCTCTTTTCCATGCCAAAACACAGCAACAGATAGAGCCATACATGACACGAGCAAAGTTTTGCCAAGCATATACATCAAGATTGCAATTCAAGCCTCCTTTCCTTCGCCCACTGCCTGCCAATGCGTTCCATCTCTGTACAGTCTTCAGCAGTGTTCGGATGAAGCGTCCACTCTGTGGCCGGTGCAAGCTTCCTCAACAGTTTCTTCAGTTGTGTCAAGATGGCTCTGTCCCATTCTGAAAATGGCAATCGCAGGCTTTGTGATACCATTCTAGGGTGATTTTCTGCTCCTGATCGAAGCTCGCGTATCGGCCGGAACACCGTTAATTCGAGAGTGTTGATGATAACCCGGGGCGCATGAGTTTCGTATCTGGGTGTTCCTAACGGCAGCCAACTTCTCGTGTTCTGGCCAAGTCCGACCTCTGTAGTGCTGTGTACAGGTCTATCAGTATCGTGATTGGAAACCCGGAAATGCGGCCTCCTGATTCGAGCGGCGCTCTGTTCCTTCCCACCACGATGGAGGGCATGTCCCACCCTCTGCTCATCCTTCGGTCCAAATAAACTTTGCAGACTGGCCGCCTCACCAGCATCTTCATGATTCGACTGTGCTAGGGGATTATTGGAATGGCCCGAAGCAGATGTTTCTGTGACTACTGCGCGAGCGTTGTGTTGAGATCGAATCGCCGACCCTGCCGTGGGTCTTACCAAGCCATCACTGTCGCCTTCGACGTTGTTTCTATGCTTCTCAAAAGGGAGCGTGGCTTGTTTCGAGTGACCATATGCTCTCCTCATATCAGGATACCGCTTTTCGAAATGCTTCCTGATATCACCGCCATTTCTATGCTGCCGTGCTCCAGGATTTGTCAGACCGCTGACCGCAGTCTCGTCTTCTGAATCAGTGTTTTCGGAGCTATGGAGTTCCGTTGTCGCATCATCAGAGTCACTAGAGCTATGTTGATTGGGATCTCCAGTTGATGACAGGACATTTTCAGCCGAAACTCCCCGAGTTACTCGGTTACGCTGCTGATTCTGTTGTCGTTTTGGTATGTGGAGAGGCTGCGACGAGGTTCTTTGGACCGCATTTGATGACATTGGAGTCTCGCCAAGAGGCACTTCCAGTCTTTGGGCTGCGTTGTCTGAAGACCCACCGATGAGTAGTCTGGCTGCCCTTGACACGTGAGGGTATATGCGGCGCGGCAGTAGGCGATCTTTATACGTCGGGTGGCTCGTATTACCATGGCTCGGCCCAAGTGATGGTGGGATCAACTGGTCTAGCTCGGAAGATGGTGACGGCGTCAATGGCGTGACTGGGAGCTTGAAGCTAGGGTTCAGTCTCACAATAGGCAGTCCTCGCTGATGAGATTGGGCTGGGCCCCTAATACCCGTAGCTTCTGCACGTGGAGGCCCTCTGGATAATGTCGGCTGTTTCTCGTGAAACTGCTGGTTGTCCGGGCGGCCCGAGGGAAGAGGGCGCCTTTTGAGACTTCCCATAGCTGCAATAGACCACGGGTTGAGCTCTGCCAAAGCGTTATGTCCGTCGGCCACATGAGACTCTGAACGCTGCCGACTTTCTCCTTGGCTTTGGGTGTCGGTGTTGCTCTCCTCTTCCAGAGTTGGACACACAGGTTGGCCCAATTCGTTCTGACTCTCCATGTCAAAGTCACCATCCGATCCGTCTACCGGAGCCGACATATCAACCGTCCACGAACTCGCTTGGCCCTTATGAAATGTTGGCGAATGCAGGTAATTTTGGGGAGTTACGTTGGTACTTACGGTGAAAAGATCCCGGTGATTGTCATTATCTTGTGGGCTCATCTCTCCGTCACCGTCCCCTCTGATTCGTGACGAGTGCGAAAGGGGTAACGCGGCTGCCGCATGTTTCTTATGTTGGTCGGCAATTGATGTGCTATTGGGTTCATCCGGGCGGTGATTCCCCTGCCTACCAATCCCATCTTCCAAATGTGAAAACAAGCTTCCCACACTTCCCCCCTATTTTCACGACCCTGTCCCTCATTGACACTACTGGGGTAGACCACCCGCAGGAATGTTTTGAAGTCACTGATCAATTGATCTTCCTGAAGAAACAAAACATCCTCCTTGGCTGGCTCTATGTTGACATCGTACCATCCTAGAGAACAGCAGATGTTCAGACAGATGAAAATATCCTTGGGGACACCTGCCGAAGTTAGTGGACAGACAGACTGTCTCAAACATTCTCTCAACGCCATGGTCAGTTTTCTCCCGGTTCCTCGAGTGGCTGAAATGGGGCGGGAGTCGACAGAGAAGAAAAGGCCCTTCGGAATTTTGCTGTGCTCGACATCTGGTTTCATAAGAATCGCTTGAAACACGTGTCGCCTGCTCCTTTCTTCGCCCGGCAAGCCTGTGTTGGGATCTGGTCTGTCCGGCCACGTTCGGACAAAACACTGAGATGCCTTCTGAACACCGAAGATCTGGATAGCTGTTTCCATAATGTCCTTGCCTGGATGTGGAGATATCCTCAGAGACTGATTGGGGTTTTGTAAGACTGCAAAGTGTATCCTAAGCGGGTGTCTCGCAAACGCACAAGCCTGAACCAAGTACCTCATCTTCTCGATGTTCTTCGATATCTCCACCGGCTTTCTCGCGATTCGCTCTCGGACGGGATAATTGGAGAAAATGTTGGTGACTGTGACTGTAGTGCCCTGCTCAGCAGCGTGTACGCTTTGAGTTTCGACGCCGCCGTTGTCAGCAAGCCGAATCATTTGAGGGGTTTCCAATCCGACTCTCGTGATCACATGAACGGTTGCTACCGTGTTGATACTGGCCAAGGCTGTCCCACGAAATCCAAGGGATTTCCCACCAATCTTGTCAATGTCCTCAAAGGAACTGAGCTTGCTCGTATGCGAAGGGCGGCCAAGGGCGTTGAAGTCAAAGGAGGATATACCGCTTCCATTATCCCTCACTTCAATCTTGTCTACAGTGTTTGGGGAAATACTGATATGTATGGTCTGTGCCCCCGAGTCCAGAGCGTTGTCCAGCAGTTCCTTCAAGACCATGAAAGTTGAGGTAATGTTCAAAGTCGAGCCGATCCGCCGGCAAGCATCATCCGGGAGTGGTGTGATGGGCATGGTGGCTAGAAAAACAACAGAATATTGATATCAAGGGTAGTACTCATGATGCTAGCGGGAGTGATGGAATAATAATAAGTACATGAGGGAATAAGGGGCGGTGCCCACAAGGTAGATTGCTTGGTGCTGGGCAGATATGTTTTTGCGGAAGACAGTTCTTTTTTTTTTTTTTTTTTTTGTGTGTGTGTGTGTGTGTGTGTGTGTGTGTGTGTGTGTGTGTGTGTGTGTGTGTTACTCGGCTTTCACTCTGTCCACGTGAAGACCAGACACCTGGAACATAGAGAAGGCACCGATGCGCTGTTAAGCTGAAAGGCGCAACCACCGTGGTTCTTGCCTTGTTGGGAGCTCGCCAGCAGTGGTTGGTACCTGCCACAAAGTAGCTGACGCACTATCGAAGGGGGGAATCCCTGTGCCCTCTCTTAATAGACTAAACTTACATGTCTCAACAAAAACATTTAGTAGCGAGAAGTATATCTAGCCTCCTGATATCCTTACATTGTGATATAATGTAGTGAGGCCATTCATCTTGAAGTTGGTCGACGGATTAGGAAGGAAGTAAACATATACTGACAATAGAGGACCAATCAGAGCAGGAACTGAGTTGCTGACTAACCACCGCTGATGAGCCAAGAGGAAATTGCCGAGCGGCAGACGAGGCAGAAGGAGCCCCGCCATGGCCCGGGCCAGCAACGTCAGCGGACCCTCAGGGGCATTTCGAATGCCGACTGCCCCTCATTTATTCAACCCCCTTCCGGAACTTGGAAGCTCACTTTTTTACAGTTATCGTTCGAATTACTCATTCCACGACTATACGAAGCCTTCAGCCAGAGTCAAATCACGAAACGCCACAATCTGCTTACCCGACCCCGTAACCTTCCGTATCATCGACAACATGCACACCAAAGGCCCAGCCCCGCAATACCACGATGGCAGTAACCTCCGCATCGGCATCGTCCACGCTCGCTGGAATGACACCATAATCGAGCCTCTGGTCCAGGGCGCAAAGGACAAGCTGTTGGAGGCGGGTGTCAAGGAATCAAATATCGTGGTACAGACAGTCCCAGGCGCGTGGGAGCTGCCAATTGCTGTTCAGCGGTGCGTCTGTTTTCTTTGCGGTTGTTCCTACTCTCGACCTCGAGGGGCAAGCTTGCTAGAGCAACAACCTCTGCTCGCTGCTGGGCCTTGATCTCAGGTGGAGAAAGCAGTGCATATGCTTGATCGAGAGTGTAAATTTAACCTATTAGTCTATAAACTGACCATGTTCCCCTGCTACTGGGGTTGGAATACAACAGTCTCTATGCAGCTTCGCAAGTGCAATCGTCTTCTGCTGGCGCTGGGGGGTCGGCAGGTGATTTGTTGGGAAGTTCGACGGCCGATTTGGCGTCACTCTCTGCCGGAAGCTCGGTCTCGACGGGCCCATTCGATGCTATCATTGCCATAGGGGTCTTGATCAAGGGGGAGACGAAGCATTTTGAATATATTGCCGAAAGTGTATCGCATGGCCTAATGCGTGTGTCCCTAGACACAGGCGTGCCCGTCATTTTTGGCGTCTTGACCGTCTTGAACGACGAACAAGCCAAGGCACGTGCGGGTATCATCCCCGGCAGCCATAATCATGGGGAGGATTGGGGCCTTGCCGCTGTGGAAATGAGTGTCAAGCGCAAGAATTGGGCCACGGGCGTTATTGAATAGAAACAGATCGGAAAGTAGCGAACCGAAAAGCTAGGGAAGGGTCTGAAAATACAATGCTTTTCCTATTACTGAATTAGAGCAATGAAGTGCTATGTCTATCGTGAATTGTCCGAAAGGACTGCCTCAAAAATCACCAAAGAGAAAGGCTCCAAAAACACCTCCGTTCTTTCCTCAACGCTATCCCCACTCCTTCTGGCAAAACCACTCCTGCGCCCCCTTTATCCGCCGCAAGACCGCTTCTGATACCGATAAAGATAATGAAACAAAGATGAATGTACAATGTGGCCACTTGATTTATCCAACACATGCAAAAGCAAAATGGCCAGCAGCAAAAGATCCTCCAACTTCTCTAATCCCTCCGATATAGATACTAATATCGAGTCTTACTGTTGACAAGAGATGCACTCAGTTGATAAATGAACCCAGATCACCACCGATCGACGACAATTTCTTGCTCTTCCACATCGACTTCTTTTTCTCGCGCTTGGCCTTCATCGCCGCCCACCCCTCCTCATCGTCATCATCCGAGCCACTTCCAGACTTTGTGACCGATATTGTGGGCTGTGTGATTGCTCCCGACATGGTGGTCGATTTCCGGAGATGGCCTGGCGCCACGGGAACGTGTGGTGCCGGAACGTGGGAGACTGGACGGTAGCGGCCAGGAAGGCCAATGTTGCTTCGTTCTGAGGGGGCAATTGATGGAGCGTATCCGCCGCCCTGCATCATGATCGAAGGGGCAAAGCCAGGATGTTGCAGGGGCTGTATCCATGAGGCCGAGCTTGGCTGTACCATGCTCATCGTGCGCACTTGCGCGTCGCCCCCCCGACCAGTGGGCAGATCCAGCATGGAGTCGTTTCCTAGAAACGAATGACGCATCTCAGGAGCACCGCACATCCCCGGCATTGGTGGGAGAGGACCCATGGCGCCGAGACTGCCGGCTGACTGTGAGGTAGTCAAGTAGCCATTGGGCGTGGTGGGAGCGCTGCCATTTTGGCCCGCCATCATCTGCATAAACTGCATCTGCATCTGCATGAATGTTTGCATCTGCTGCGTCATCTGGATCTGTGCCTGGTCACCTGGCGTCAGCATCGGAGGAGCAGCTTGGTTCTGGTACATGAGATGTGACGGCATGCCGGTCATCGGATCGAAAGGACCTGCCCCGGGCATGGCCGGCATCGATGCCGAGCCGTCGATGTGCGGGCTTCCGCGCCTCATTGCGCGGTTGCGCTCTTCGTTTGCGATGATGTTGATCAGGCCACCAGGAGGAATCGCGCCTGCGGGGTTTCCGGGGGCAGGAGCTCCGCCTCCGAGAGCGAAGCTCTCGCGGACAGAGTTGCGAACCAGACCAGCGCCAAGAAATGGGTCTTGGGGAAGATTTCTTGCAAAGGCAGGAAGACGTCCAGGGGTGCCAGCTCCGGCTCCAGCAACGGCATCTCCAGTAACCGACATTGGCCTTTGAAAGCTAGGTTGTTGTGAGGCGCGCAAGTTGGGGTTCGATGCCATGGTGCTCAGGCGTGTGGGCGGCCGGTTTCTGTTTGGGAAGCCGTGTGCAGCGAGAATAGCCAATGGAATCTCCTCATCTTCGTCTGAAGGGTCCGAAGCGTGGGCAACCGCTGGGTTGGCGCCAGAGGCGAGGGCTAGATTGGGGAGGTTCGGGGTGCTGAAAGATATTTGCAGGCTCGGTCTTGAGGAAGGTAGATTGGCAGATTCACCAGTGACCTTCATCATCTGCTGCCGGTATACCGCCATGTGTGCCTCTTGCTTCCGACGCTGCTTGGTCTGCTGCTTCGCTCTTTCAATGTCGTCCTCGTCATCCTCATAGTTGTCCTCGTCATCGTCATCTTTGTCTTTGTTTGAGACAGCTTCCTGCTGTCGTTCCTTGTCTTGTCTTTCCTTGTCCTGGCGATACTTTTCAAACTCGGCTGGGGTCATTACCTTGTTGCTCGAAGGTGGGCTGGCCTTTTTGGCTGTGAAGCGGCTGGCAGATTTTGAAGAGAACGAATGCGTCGTGTCGAACAAACTGTCGTCATCTTCATCTCTGCGATATCTCGACGTGGAAGGGGCGTGAGACGAGATGACAGACCCAGTGATGAACTTATTGACAGTGGACAGAGAGTCCCTCAACAGTCTCGCCTCCTCATCCTCGCCATCAGCCTCCTCGGGGGTTGGTGTCTTTGGAGCGAGCAGCGGTTTCCTAGGACCTGCTTCTGGCGACGCACTGGGCTTCCTTTCGGCAAGCGGCGAGGTATGGCGAGGAACTGGGGGAGGGAGGTTCTCCTTGATGGGGGGCGATGGACTAGACGGCGCGATTAGCTGGTCGTTGGAGTGCTGGCTGCTCCAAGAGTATGGCGAAGCCTCGACCTTGGTAGTCATGTCGATGTGAAGGGGGGAGGGCTGGTTCAATCGCGACGCAGTGAGGGAGCGGGGGGCAAGCGCCTGCCTGCCCTTTTGTTCATCTTTGACCGTGGCCACGCTTGAGCGCTTGTCGCTTCCGAGTATCATCTTGCCAAAGTCGCCGCCCAAATCAAGACTAAAGTCGTTGTCGTCGATCCTTGGTGATGTAACAGTAGTGGAAGTTGAAGTGGTGGTCGCTCTCGATCGGCCATTTACCGGCGTCTGGGCTGTCGGGACATCGGAAGCGACCGGGCTGGATGGCCTGTCCTCCTGCATCTCGGGTGCTGGGGGTAGTTGCTTCTTTTGCCCGCCAAATGAAAATGTGCGACCGGCGGCCTTGAGAAAGTTGGCCGAGGATGATTTTGGAATGGGAGGCACTGGGATATCGGCGTGCAGCTTTTTGTTGTTTCTCCAGTCTTCCTGTCCGCCCATGTCGGCAGACGAAGGGGCAGTGGAGGCATTGCTGTGACGGGACGAGTTATCGGTCGAGTTCGTTTTGGTCGTGTTGGAAGATCCGCTTCCGCTGCGAGCTATTAGCAATGGGAAATGAAAAAAAAAGTGGAACCCCTGCTCTCGCCAGCCTTCTTATATCCCCAGCCAGCTGAAAGACGTACCGGTTGGGCTTGAGGTCAGCGAATATGTTGTCGTCAACCGTGACTTCAGACGCGGTAGACCGATGCGCGCCGTGCGGCTTGCCCGTCAATCTGACACCCCCGTCGAACGACTTTCCCCCCGAGACTTCGGTACGCTCGAGCACCCGGAACGAAGGGCCCGTCACGGCAACATTTTCAAGGCTGTCAGCGGTTGACTTCCGCTTGACAAAAGTGGGAAACCTAGGCATATAGGGAGGTCTCGATGGGGTTGTACGGGGAGATGTTGGGTGGTTGCGCCGGACTAAAAGCCGAGGAGGGCAGGGGACTGCGGTCCCTTTGTGTACTCGGGAAGGTGCGTCGGATAATACGAGGCTGGTAGGAGGTGAGGTGAGACAATGCTCAGAGAGGATACCGAGGTTGCTGTCGGGAACAGTCGCAGCTGGGTCTCGAAAAGCCGGCGGCCGCGTGTTTCTCCTCAGACAGTAACTCGGCTGATACACGCGGTGTTGGCGGACTGCATCGTTGGGCAAAACAAGGTCAGTTACACTGTCTGCGCGAGTGGGGAGGGACATGCTGTGACCCGAGAAGCCCGAGACAGAGTTTCCAGATGGGTGCTCAGGTGCTGGGTTGCTTCGTCGGACAGCCGAGGGGGCAAGGAGGAAAGGATGCGAGACTCAGAGTCTGGTGTATCTGCCAGGCGAACAGACGGACAGGGAGCAGGAGCTGAGACGCACTGGGCTGGCGTGCTTGCACGACACAGGTTCCAGCTGTCCGGCGGTGCCATCCTAACCTTCCCGTGCCTCCCCTAGCATCGTAGACCAAACCGGCACGCCCAGAGATTTAGACTGAACAACGGGAGCATAAGGGCCCTTCTGGCAGCCGTCATTCTCACGAATGATCGGTCGAGGGCTGTTTGGAGAGAGGAAGAGATCAAGGCTAGGCGGGTGACGGGCAGGCAGGGGACACGGGAAGAAAGAAGGTTTTGACTTACAGAATTGGGAGCGAGCCAAAGTCGCAAGCTTGTTGACAATTAGGGGGATTATTGGACGACAGCCAGACGGCTTTGTGTATATAACCGCCGACACTGAGATAGGCGTCAGGTCAGACTCTGACGGGCTCGTTTGTGTCGATGACAAATGACAAAGTAACGATGCACGATAACGCGAGGAAAACCACGCTATGAACCGGCGCTGTGGAGAGGGTTGCAAAAAAGAAAACTGGCGGTTCAAAACGGGCTGAGAAACTCCGAGGCGATGCAGCAAAAGAGAGGCGATTCTCGTAAACAGAGAGAGAGTAGGTAGAGTGTGCTCGAGAGAGAGGGAGGGAGAGAGAGAGAGAGACAGCGAATGCGATGCGGGTATGGTATGGTATGGAATCAGCGAAAGCGAAACTGGTGGGCGAAAGCGATTGACGACACACGATGCTTCAGAGGGGATATCCGCGAGAGCAGCAGGGTGCAATGGGAGAAAGCAAAGACGACAGCGACAGTGACAGTGACAGCAACCAGACGACAGGATGGGATCAGGAGGAGAAAATGGGCGGTTGGCTCGAGAATTATTTTTATTTCCATGGCATGGCATGGCATGGCATGGCGGGCATGCCCGGACAGGGCAGCTGGCAGCGGCACTGTGTGTGTATAGCCCAGCGCCCCAGGTAGGTATGACCTTGGGCACCTGGGATGGGGAGTGGGGAGGCTTTAGAAGGCGCTACCAGCGAGCGCCGGGGCACTGGTGAGAATAGCGCGCTCCCGTTGGTGGGAAACCCCCTGTTCGTCTTTGGCCTCGCACCCCCTGCTGAGCTGCCCGGCTTTGCTGCCCGGGGCCACACAAGTCACAGCATCACAGCACAGAGTACACAACAAAGCCACGACAGCCGGGACGAGAAACTGCGAGCCTCAATAGGTCGCTCGTCCCCCCCGCAACGAGACACGCATGCCTTTCAAGGAATGCGCGCAGCAAGCCCGTCCGTGTTTGATGCGGCCTGCGGGCGGCGGGCTGGGAACAAGGCAGGACGAGATCACTCCACGGAAAACTCCCAGGTTGGGGAGACCTGAGAGTACCTAGGTGAGGGGAATGGGATGGGGATGGAGCCTCTGAGCACGGCGGAGCCCGGTCGGCCGACCTACCTGGGCCAATACATAGCATCTGGATCGCCAAGGATCGCCGGGGATCGTGTTGTCGCCGCTAAATAAAAGCAACAAGACAACGCGTTCCTGTTCATGGGAGAGCGCCGCGGTGTTTGAATATTGCTTGATGCCGATCAGGCCGTCTGTGGCGTGCTTTGAGGCTTTTGATACCCAGTCAGGGCGGAGAATAAAAGCGCAGCTCGGTGGGGGAGGAAGGTGTCACACCCCGAACACCCACCCCTCTTCAAGAAGAAAATATATATCTAGGAAATATTGTGGTTGGTCGGAGGAAGAAGGGAGACTGCGATCGCTCACACAGCCCTCCAGAGATAGTACGTATATCTCCTGAATTGTTCAAAGGGCCTATCAACTGTCCCCAGAAACCTGTCGACAATACCTTCAGATCTCATAGTTGCCAGTATCACTCTGAGCCGCCAGCCTCTAGTATATGTCCAGTGCGTGTCAAAGCCTCACAGGGGTCCGAAGCAAGCGGTGGGCCCTGAATGGAAAAGCATCGAGATGTTTTGCTGCTCATGGCCCAACCATCTGGTTGAAGAGATCTCTTTTTGGCGATGGGTGCAGTGCTTGGCAATTTCGGAAGGCATGAGAAGCATGTCCCATAGCATGAAAGGGTATGTCCATATTATTACGCAGAACAGACATCAAATTTCCAGATGCTGACCATGGACTGGGACGCTGCCTTGCTTTGCCGCCGCGAGCTCCTTGGATCTCTGCTTCATAGGGTCGTGTTCTGCATCGCAAACTGGTGGATCGAGACATCTAACAAAACAGGACCGTGCCGCATGTGGTTAGGAAAGAAGTGATACCGTGTGCATTGGGCACAGAGGCGGCGCTTCTTCCCCACATTAAAAGGAAAAAGGGGCGAGACTCGGAACGACCCACCGTGCTGGACTTGGCGGTGGTGTGGTTGACCATCAAGCGGTTCTTCAAGAAAACGCTGGATTGGGTTTGGTGGGTGGGCTTTTGTCTGGTATACCTGCCTGGATGGTCTTCTTGAAGCTTGTTTTGATATACAATGCCCCCTTTCTAGTGCCCAAGGGTGGCCTGGTTTTCCCAACCGCCAGCCAGCATGGTCATTGCTCTGGCGCACCGGTAGCTATCTTCTCCAAAGACCTGTTGGGATGAACCGAGGTGACGCGTTTACGGCGGACATGGCGCAGGTCTTAAAAAGAGTCCCACGTCAGAGGCGGTCATAGTCCGGACACCAGCATCTTCCTCCATACCACGGGGGTTGATGAGACCTCGCTGATTACCTTGCTGCTGTACGGATTATACCTGGTGTTATGTTCATAACTAGGAGCCAAATGTGCTGTTGGTCCACCAAGCAGTGTGTAGAAATTTCGCTATGCGTAGACTCTGGAGTACCATAGTTCAACCACTCTACGAGTCGTGCCGCCGGTGAGAGCCACGAACGTGTGGTGGTGCCAAACTGGCTTCTCGGACAATGCCGAGTCCGAAGACAGTTGGGATTCATGAAACATCCTCGTGCCTTGTAGATAATCCCGAGAGAAGAATGAAGTATGTGTCCCTGAGGAATACCTTACCCAACAACAAAAGCTGTCCGATAGGTTCAAGCCGCGGACACAAAAGGCTGATAATTGTGTCCAGTTTGTGACTTGACCACAAGCCTGCGCCGCCGCCATGGCAGCGAACGGCGACGAGCTGTGACTTCCCCACGTACCGGTGGTTAGGAAGACTGTGGGGCAGTATTGAGAGTGTATCGTGAGTGTTGGTTCTGGAAAATCTGACAAGATTGGTAGGTTGGAACCCGAGTATGTGGCTTCTGAGTGCTACACGCCGTGCTCTGGTGCTGCCAACGGAAGTGAACTGCCAGGACCCTTCGGGAGTGTACAGAAGACCGTGTATAGCATGTTCTGCGAATAAAGAAAAGACCACAGATCAGCGGTGGTGCGAGTACGGAACTGCGAGGTTGTCCGGCGCTTTTCACGTTGCGCCTTTCTGCTGTTGTGGAAGCACACCTACCTTAGTATTCGCGATGTCTGTCCCGGGATGCGGCCAACTGTAGAGCGGCAGAATACATTTCGATTGCGCAATCCGATTGTGACATCGAGTCAAGACATGGGGGTATCTCGAGCGGCAAAAGACGAGAGTTTTCAGACAATGGATGGCTTCAAGAGGGGCAATGAGCATGTTGGCAGACTGGATTTGATACAGATATATCCAAAGAATCCATATAGTGCAGGCCGAGACTGCACCACGAAAGCTTGATATGAATCTGGATGGCCCTGGTGTTGTAGCACTACTCAAAAGGCGTGTCGCTGCACGATGCCGTCCTGGACTTTGCTTTTCGGTACTGAATGACATCAACCGCAGCCCGCAGCTTGCCGAGGGCGGACGATCGCCGTCGACCTCCGTCCAGTCCTGAGTCCTCAGCTCTCGGCCTCACCCTCAGGCAAGTGGCAATTGGTCGGATTGCTCTCGTGAAGAGACAAGTTCCATCTTGGCCAAATCCTGACGGCATCAGGATCAGATAAAACAGAGAGCCAAGCCAGTGGAGGTGAGTGGATAAACAGGTATCACCTCCCCACACTGCCAACCTTTGATACTATATCCATCCATATTTATAACATAGTTATCTTGTGTATTCAAGACAAACTGCTCCTCGCTGTTTCATTGCGCACCGTTTGTTGTTTCAACCATGTCGTTTTGGAGTTCAGGAGGCGTTTTAGCTTGCACCTTTGGTGGAGCCTTTTGAGGTGGCGTCGCCACCACCACTACTACCCTGGTTTGAGAGCAGCTGCTTCGCCTTCCAGCAGGCCGTTGAACCTTGAGCGTTTGGTGAAAAAGGAGCAAGGCCAGCGTTACTGACTCGAGAAGAGAGGCTGCTCGGGGAAAAAGGTTACCCGCACCGTTTTCTCTGTTCCGTTCATCATCAGGAAGCCAAGAACCTGGGTCTAGACTCGTACAGGTTCTCTGAGAAAACGAGCCGACAAGAGCGTCAATCTGATAACTGCGACTGCTGATAAGCTCACCACGCCGTTCACCAGTGGGTTTTCCTGTGGCTTGTTGCTTTGAACCGTTGCAGCCAGTGAGTGGATCAGAGCTGACCGACACTTTCTCTAGATTCTTTTTTTTTTCCTCCAAATTCTCTCTCACAGAAAAGGGCTCGTCAGGTTATCAACACACAAGTCAAGGTGAACAGGATGAGTTCGCCACCGACAACGCGCCCCATGTTCCCGCGCTCTGCATTTCTTCTCCTCCAAGATGAACCGCCAATTGCGCCCATGGGCCACGGGGCGCTGGCTTCGCTGATCAGGAATCGACCTGCAGCGGCATTAGCAAACCCTTTGTCTTTTGGTGGCCGCGATGAGGAAGAAGGCGCGGCTGAAACGGTTGAAGATGAGGCGCATAGGCGAGACGAGCGCCGCATGAGTGCCATCTTGAACAGCTCTCACATGCGCAGCATGCGCCTGATCGGAAATAGCAACCCACGATATCGATGGGAAAAATACTGGAAGACCCCAGAGGAGCTGGCCGCTATGAAGAAGGATATACGCGAGTACTATGAACGCGTCAACTACCTGGTCCAGCAGTATCTCTACATTGACCGCCTCCTGGACTCATCTTTGCCTCATGACCTGCTCAATGAGTACAACAACATGCCCGCATCTGCCTTTCGCGGTGTCGAGATACCCGCCACCATCACGGAAAACTCACCAACCACGTCACAAGAGCCCGCGCGCAAGGTAAAGCGGACCCCAAAGGATATTTACCGGTCTACCGAGACGACTCCTCTACTTCAAAGCAACGGCGGGGCAGCTGTGGACGACGACGACGACCTTGAAAACGGAGGGCGTGCCAAGCCTGAAATCCCATGGCTTGAAGATGACCTCGTCGACAGCGATGCCCCCATTGTCACCTTGGCTATCTACATCAATTTTGCTGCCAATGTTATTCTCCTAGCTGGCAAAATTGCCGTCATCATCAGCGTCCCGTCGGTTTCAGTGCTGGCCAGCTTGGTGGACGCGGTTCTTGACTTCATCTCAACCGTCATCGTATGGGTGACCACGGTTCTCATTCGCCAGCAGGATCAATATCGATATCCGATCGGAAGGCGGAGACTTGAGCCTTTGGGTGTTCTTGTCTTTTCCGTGATCATGATTACTTCGTTCGTTCAAGTTGCTCTGGAGGCCATCCAGCGTCTTCTTTCTCCCGATCGTCACATCATTGAACTGTGAGTCGATCCAGGCATTTCAAAAAGTCGTGATACACATGTCAATGCTCGGTTGCTAACAGTCTCTCAGGGGAAATGCTGCAATTGGAATCATGTTTGGTACCATTGTCATCAAAGGGTTGTGCTGGCTTTGGTGTCGCATGGTGAAGAACTCGAGCGTACAGGCCCTGTAAGTTTCCTGGTTTCTCGATGCCCGCTGTGTTGTGAGCAGCAGTTTCTGACAGGCGCAAAAACTAGTGCGGCAGATGCGAGTACAGATGTGATATTCAACGCCGGATCCATTGCCTTCCCTATTGTGGGCTATTGGGCACGTGTATGGTGGCTAGATGCTCTCGGCGGCCTTTTGCTCTCCGGCGTTGTCATTTATAACTGGTCTCAAACATCCTACGAACATATCCGCCACCTCTCGGGCTTTTCTGCTACCGCAGACCAGAGAAACATTCGTGAGACCCTGACTACCACCCCCTGTTTTGTCTGAATTCATACCTCGCTGACCCACCTGACTTGTTATAGTCCTCTACCTCACCATGCGCTTCGCAAAAACCATCAAGCAAATACAGGGCCTACAAGCCTACCATGCCGGTGATAAGCTCAACGTCGAGGTCGACATCGTCCTTGACGCCAGCACTCCATTGAAAGACAGCCACGACCTGAGGTAAGATTCAAAGCACCCTCTCTCCCCTCCTGCGCGAGCTGCAATCAAGTATACGCACATCAGGTTTGTTTTTCTCTCCCGCTAAAACAATTTTCATCCACCAGCGAGAGCTTGCAATACGTTCTGGAGTCGGTCCCCATTGTTGACAGAGCGTTTGTCCATGTCGACTACGCAACGTATAATCTTCCCACACACATGCAGCAACAAGGGTCTTCCTAAGCTATGACGAGACCTGGGGGTTACGTATAACCAAGAGCGTTTAGCAGCTTGGTGGGTGAGTGCATGGACAATCTAAACACATGAATGTAAAAGCACATGAATGTGGGTGGGCCATGCAGATTGCTCTTGACCTAAACCCACTCGGATTTATTCAGAGATACCCAGTACATACACCACCGACCTGTTTGTTTGTCTAGCGTGTACTTCTGGTGGAGGATTTCCAGATCGTACCGAGATGCTAAGACCACGGATTTCTAGGGTGAATCGAGCTATTCTTCACTAACCAGGGCCTTTTTCGAATTTATCTTTTTGACTGTGTGATCGTTGAGAGATAAATTATTCGACTGGCGATATTGGCCTTGGCTGTGCCGCGCTAGACAAACAAACAGGGTTCAGTGGTGTAAAGTGGAAGACGAATCATAGACACTGCCAAGGTTGGTATTGGATAAAGTCCTCGTGTTTAAACGAATCAGAATGCCACACTTTATTATCTCTATCAATGGTATCCATACGTAAAATGCAATAAGGCTATTAGACCATCTCCGAAGCTATCCTATTCCAACAACACATCCAGAACCCCCCATAAACAATAAAAAAACGCAGCTATATGATGCCAAAAACACAAAATTAGTACGGGATGCCGTTCGTCAACAGCTGGAACTGGTCATATATGCCGGTCGAGTAGCTGCCGTAGCTCTTCTTAATCAGGCCCTTCATAAACTCGGCGGCCTCACGTTCGGTCTTGTCCAGCACAAAACGCTCCTTGAAGTGCTTGACGCTCTCCGGTTTGAAGCAAGGTAGTCCGCTGTCCATCATGAGTAGCACAATCTGCGAGAGCTTCTCCGTGTACTGCCGAGACGCCAAAAATGCCTTGACACACAGTTCTTCGAACCACTTGAAGGCTTGTGTATCTGCACCACCGCCCATCACGGCAAGCATCTCGGACGTCAGCTTGAAGGGTGCGCGCTCAAACTTGATACCGCCCGGCGCGATGTCAAAGCAGAAGCCGAAATCGATGTGGAGGATGTGGCCGGCGTCGTCAATCATGATATTGCCATTGTGGCGGTCCTTGAACTGCAACAGAAACGAGATGACCGAGTAGGCAGCCATACTCTTCACAAAGTTGTTGCGTGCCTGCTGGAACCGAAGCGAATCCTCGTTGCCATACTTGGAGATGAAGTAATCGTAGAGACCATTGACGGCTTCACGGCCCAGCATGTCGCGTGAGATGGAGTTGGGAAGAACGTCAATGACGCCGCAGCCTGGCGCTGTCGCCGTGACGCGGTAGGGAAACACGTAGACGTCCAGGCCAACACTGTGGAAAATGCCTCGGAAAGCAGCGATCATCTGCAGGGCGAGCACGTCCTGCCGACAATCATCGCCAACCTTGAAGATGGCTGACTGCCAAACCTCAATTGTGTTGTCGTGATCGGCACTTTGGTTCTCTTGTACCGGTTCCGCGAGCAGCTCCTCGGCCTCATCAAGCTCGGGCTTCTTCTTTTTGATACGGAAGGTCGCCATGAAGGGTGCTTTGGCGTGGCTCTGTAGCGGTTTACCGGATTTACGGTCAATACCAATGACCGAGCCATCAGGATTGCTGGGAAGGTAGACCCCAACTTCGACCTTGATCTTTCGCAGTTCCTCCTCGATCTTTTGCTTCTTCTCTGGCTTTGATCTCTTGATCAACGGCTTGAGCTTCCCCGAGATGCTGGTTACCTCGTCAAAGAAGGAAAACTCGCGCTCGTAAAACTCACGATCCTCGTCCGAAAAGCTGTCCACCATGTGGCCCATGACTTTGTCCAACGTCGGCTTGATGGCGTCGGGGATCTGCGAGTCGTCGTCTTTGTAAGCATTGGCCTTCATGTTCCAAATGATCTGATGGGCGAAGAGCTGTGAAAACTGTGCGGTTTCGAGGATGTAGCGTTCGACATAGCCCAAGGCATCGTAGCGCAGAGTCTGTACGATCTGAGGGACGTAAAAGAATGTCACATCCACTGAGTGGCTTTCCAATGCTCGCATAGCATACTGAATAAGATAAGGGTGGTTCTTGTATGCTGGCAAAAACAGCGTCACGGCAGTGATTGGGTTAACAGGAGCCCAGAACAACATGTACTAAAGAGGGTAATAGTTAGCATGGGCGTTCATACTGAACAGTGGGCGAGGGAATGCTTACCTTGAGTTGGAAAGTGACGTCCTCTGGAAGGGAACCATCGATAAGAATAGGCAGTGCCTCGGGTTCTTTGATAGCCTTGGCGGGAAAGTTCAGCAAAAGCCAGCGGACCTCCTTAAGGATACGTGGATACGGGAACCTGCTTGCCAAATGTACGGCTAGAGATGGGCTCTCCGCCCAGGCTGTTCGGATCAAGGGGTGAATGCTAGCCTCAAATGGACTTTCTTTGCCGGTATGATGGTGGTGGTGATGGAAGGTTGATGGAGGTCGTGACGAGTCAGTTGGGCGAACCCAGACGCTCAGTCGAGAAAGCTCGCTGTCCAAAAGCAGTCCAAGGAGCTTTTCTTTGGCCGCAAGGGACTTGATGCTCCCAGCGGATTGTGCACCAATATTCGTGGTGGCAGCCAGGGCAGTCTGGACATCCGAGATCAGATAGATTTCGGTCTTGAGCTGGAGAATGTTGCTTCCAAACGACCAGCGCGGTGGAGCTTCGAACCAACCCAAGCCCGCTGACAGAATCTGATCCTTCAGACGATATTGTGCAATCGCGCCCATGGTCGAGCTGGTCTTGAGTACCCGAAGGCCAAGAAGGACAACCTGGAACCGAATTTCTCTTGCCATTGGGTGTGGTGTTGAGTGCTTGACAGCCTCAAGTGTCACATCAAGGAGGCGGAGGAACATGTGGTTCGTGTCAGGGTTACCCAGACGGGTGGCATTGTAATGACTGCTGAGGAACTGCAGTAGCCTTGAGTGAGGTGCTAGAAGGTTGTGAACCGTCTGTTTGCGCTTCGTCATCGCGGCGCTGTCACTCGGGGCGAATTCCTGCCTCTGGAAGAACGGATCTGGGCTAGCTATTGTTGGACTGAAAAGGCCCAGCTTCTTCTGGATGGTGAACTCCCATTGCTGAACAATCTCGGCCAGGATACGTGGCTCCATCCGGGGGTTTTCGTTCATGACCCCCAGCCAAAGAGAGATTCCGAGTTTGATGGACTGCTTGGTGAACATGGAAAAGGGTATGCTGACAAGATAATGTGCAATGGAGCATTCGTCACGATTACTCCGGCAGAGGAGGGCGGCCGCGCGGCGAAGGATATCGCGGACGTCTGTCACTGATGTAATTTTGCGGTTCAGTGCACGCTTCTCAATGTGGGCAAGAGCCGTGTTCGCATCTGCGCTTTCGTTGCCAGGAGATGGGAGGTATGAGGCCCTGCGATCTGGTCTCATGAGGCTCATCCATTCCATGCTCTGGTCAGGAAGTGCCTCAGAGTATCGGTACTCCTGGCGCGTAGTGTATTGTGCCATAAAATCAGAGGCGGTGTTGATGAGGCAGTCCCCAAGCCTGTCAAGCGAGCCAAGTCTCTGATCCGTGGATGGAATGGTCGAGCCAACTTCAACAGCAAATGATCTGCCAAGTGAGATGTGACCGAAAGCGCTATCGTCATCAAATTCGGAGAGGTAGGTCTGAAGCAACCCTTTGACATCGGCTGGCGCAATACTGATGGCACTTGACAACCACCGTTTGGCCTTTTGATACAAGTTCTGGAGAGTAAGCTGTCTGAACTGGTAGTCGTCCGAAAGCTCCACAACGACGTCCCCCTTGTTCGACTTGAAGGTGGTTCGAGGCTCGTACCGATCAATTTCGGCTTCCAGGCAACTGGACCACATCAGGGTCAGGAGCTCGAGCAGCGCAAACAGCGAGGATCGTTGGCACAAGGCTGAGGGTATCGCATCAATCATGCGGTCAGCGCAGCTAAAAGCAGCCTGCTGAACCCGTTCAATTCGGTGACAGCAACTGGAAAAGATCTTGGCGAGCTGCGTGGCTGCATATTGCGCAGTGAAGGCGGGGTTGGTAGCGTTGATAGTTTTGACGAGGTAGCGGTCAACGACAGCGTTCATGATACCATCCATGGTCCTGCTCACATCACCTCGCCTCATGCTGGGCTCGAGGAAGTACGAGAGTGCTTTGGTACAATCTCCAGCATCTGCCCGCAAACTCTCAACCAAGAAAGCCGCGTGAAGAAAAACGGTCTTGCGGTAGCTCAATCCTTTGATCTCGCTGCTCCGTGAGGGGACTAATTCGGCAAGGTGCTTCTTCATCAGAGACTCCCGATCCGAACTTTCCCCTCTGCGGAGAATGGGATTTAGGTCAATATCGCTTTCGTTCTCCTCCCCGCGGTTCTCCAACACCAAAGGCGGGGAGTGTATCGCCATGATCCTCAGATACTTCATGCTTTCTTTTCCGCGGGCTGTCGACGCGGTAAAGCCATGGACGACGATATTGAACCATGCGTCACGAAGCATGGAACGTCTATCATCATCGGCGGCGTCGTTCAAGGAAAAGTCAATGGCTGACATAAAGGTCGCCAGAGGAGGCAGCAGCTGGGCAATTTCACGCGCAGCCAACTCCAACTCAGAGTCCTTTGTGTGGTTCTGGTGCGTATGTGCGTCTCCCTGTGAGATGATGCCGTCGAGCAAGTGCTCTAGGTAGGTGTCGTAGAGCGGGGAGTCTGCTCGTATGCTGGCTGAAATATGATTACGAGCTTTCATGACAGAGTGTAAAAGTGCCTCTCTGTGCTCGACGACGGCATCATGCGCCACGCTGGCGTATTTCTTCAAAAGGTAGCGAAACTCAGATTGCCCCCCGCTGAGAGCCAGACTGGCAGCGCCGGTAATGATCCGCGCATCGACTGGAGTGCTTAGCTTAACGATCTTTTGTGCAAGCATTGACTGAGCGAGACCGGTAATCTTCTCGTCCTTACACGCGCTTGCAATCTCGCAGATTGCCTGAACCACGTTACCCTGAACAATGGCCGACTCCTCTTCGCCAGAGAACTGGAAGGATATGGAGCTGCCGGTCGACTGTCTGCCAGCGTAGATTTGAGAAGAGTCCTGGCCATCTCCATTGGGACCGCCAGGAAGTCCCCGCTCGTTGCCGGGACTCAAGACGTTGCCGAGTGTGTACAGTGTTGTAATAACGGCGTCCTTGGAAAGCATTTGCAGGACGAAGGCGAGGCACTTTGATGCCACCACCACAATATGACTTTTGGCGCCGCTCTGGACGATAAATCGAGGAAGCAGGCGGCTGACATTGATGGCGTATGAAGGAGAGACCTTGCACAATAAAGCCATGGACTTGAGGACCACAGGCGCCAATTCATGATTTGCCATACCGGACGGGTCGCCAAGTGCTTCTTCTAGCCACGCCATGAGGACCTCGCCATCTGCGGCATCCTCGTTGAGGGTGCACGCATTCAAGTAGCTGACCAGAGCATAAGCCTTGACAGCAAACGCAAGTTTCTGTTTCGCGGGCAGAAGGCTGTCAAAATCTGCGCTGGATTCCAGGTAGTTCATTTGGTCAATGGCAACGGTTGCATACAGCTCCACAGAACGAAAGTCTCCCTCGGAACTCCTTGCCGTAAGGGGTCTGCGCAAGCCACGGCCAGACATGATGATGTCCAGAATGTGCGTCTCCCGCAAAGCATCCTCTTCAGCGACCAAAAGAGAGGTTGCCGCCACTAGGAGCTTCATGAAGCTCTTTTGCAGCAGCATGGCCCCCAATGGACGGCCGGCATCCTCGTAATGGTGCGTCCATCGCCTCCACTCTTTGACATGGCGATCTGGTGAGTGAAAGTTCCGTATAATGGAGAAGGCGGTTTCTACGGCGACCAGAAAGGGTTGCGACAGGAGGTCTCGCAACCGAGAAACAAGGCCGAGGCGGCTGCCGGTTCTCCAGAAACTTGTTTGAGCGCAAGCAGCGTCCAGGAATCCCAGCAGGGCAACGGTAATAGTCGCTGTTCTTGTGGCATCCTCCAAAGCGGCTGGGTCGTCGTCGTCAGTTGGAGAAACACTCTCGGTGGCATGGGCACAAGCATTGAGAAAGGCAGAGATGCTGTCGGCCACCGTCTGCTGCACATCGGCATGACGATTTCCGAGGGACAGTAAAGCCGCGGTAACGTGATAACTCAGTGACTCGGTAGGAGACGGCTCGATCTTGCGGAAAAAGGGGGAATGGGCGAAGGCCTGAACATGGGAGTCGAGCAGATACGGGACAAGGTGACGGGCCAGTTTCTGGGCGCTCTGGGCACTGCGCAAAGCCGGCGCCGACTTGCAAAGGGCAATAAGAACTTCATATTCGCGAATAGTCTATGTCGAGCGCGAGGGTCAGGTCAGCCAGAGCATACAAACGACACAGGGACTGGACTGGAGGTGTATCTGTTGGTGGAGTCTACCATGGGAATACGGGCAGCTTCTGGCCAAGGGGGCCCTCCTGCACTGTGGCCATTGACGCCAGAAAAAGATCGTTTATGGTTGGGGGCAACTCTGCATAGTCTATCCAAGTCTGACTTGTCGAATGAAGTGCTCGCTGGGTCCGAGGCTGCCAGGGCAGCGATGCGCTCTAAGGCCTTCCGCCGAACGTCACGGGCCATGATGTTGTAGGCTGTTTCTTGCCGTATGTCATTCGTAGAGAACGGGGACGGTGAGGTGGTTGTTGATTCCAGAGACTCTCAGGCGCCCGGAGGCTTCCCGGGGAACAAGATACGCTTTGCCTGCGCAGACCGGGAGGCTGTCCAAATATCACAACCTAACGTCAAATGTTGAAACGAAAAGATTACGGGGCGGCGCGGTGGTGAGATTGGTGGATGTGCACCTTAATAACTACCCACTTTCTTCTAGTGGAGTTCTGACCCCCAAATGCCAATCTTCAATTAACTGGGGCATCCCGGGAAAAACGGTGCTGAGTCATCAGGAGCTCCCCCTGTCGGGTCTGAGGTGCAACTGCCAGCGGCCGGCCTCCAGAGCTTTGGGGAAGCAGGCTGCAGGGCTGACGCGCCAAAGAGGTCCCACCTCAACCTATCTGTACAACAACGACCGACCGCATCACCACAGCTTTAGTAGCCAGCTTCAACGTCGCTTGCATCAGCACTCACTAACTACCTTATCTACCTGCTTGAAATTTCTCACTACCCCTCGGCTTTGCAATCTGCAGTCTTCCCCATTCCGCAACACCCCAAAACTTGACTCCCCAACCACGTCCACGATGGCCATGTTCAGCCAGAACCCGCTCTTGAACGGGCCCAACTACTCGTTCAGCGAGGCACCCAAATTCAACGCTCCCGAGGGAGCTCGACAGCATCGCTTTGACCCGTACGCTCTGACTAGCTGTTTGTTCTCCGCGGCCAGAAACAGGACTAACATTTCTTGTAACACAGATACACCGACAATGGTGGCTCGACCCTTGCCATCGCCGGCGCCGACTTCACCATCATGGCTGGCGATACCCGTTTGACCTCGGGCTACAGTATCAACTCTCGGTTCCACCCCAAGGTGTTCAAGATCGGCGGCACAACTTCCGACCAGAGTGATGCAACACTGGTTCTCTCGGTCGTAGGGTTTGCGGCGGACGGGGAAGCTCTCAAGGAACGGCTCGATGCCATTTGCAAAATGTACCGCTACCGCCATGGGAAACCCATGAGCGTCAAGGCGTGTGCACAGCGGCTGTCGACAATTCTTTACCAGAAGCGGTTCTTCCCATACTACGCCTATGCTATCCTTGGCGGCCTCGACGAAGAGGGCAAGGGAGCCGTCTACTCATATGATCCAGTCGGCAGCTACGAGCGGGAACAATGCCGGGCAGGCGGTGCCGCGGCCAGTTTGATCATGCCATTCCTCGACAACCAAGTCAACTTCAAAAACCAGTTCATTCCGGGCAGTGGTGAAGGTCATGCTCTCCAAGAACGCGAGCGACGCCCGTTGACTCGTCAGGAGGTCGAGACTCTGGTGAAGGATGCCTTTGACGGGGCTGTCGAGCGTCATATTGAAGTCGGCGACGGACTGCAGATGATGATTATTACAAAGGAAGGGATTGAGGAGGTCATTTTGCCCCTCAAGAGAGATTAGAGCGGTCCATAGCTGTTATGGCGGTGACCCAAGGGCAGGCAAAAAGAAGGGCCTTGGCCTCATTGACACTTTGGAGTCACGACTATGCAAAATCACGAAACCAATGATGATTCTTTAAAGGCCCCTCTTGTTTCCATCTCTGCAGGCTGTGGACTGCTTGTTGTATTGTTGAAATGTCGACGGTTTCGATTGTCCCGAATGCGTTAACAGTGTCCGGAGCAAGAGATCCGGACAAATTGCGTGGCAGGCCATGTCGCACTCCGTTTTGATTTCAGCAAGCCACAGCTAGGCTGCCAATTGCGTGCCACAATCTGACGCATGAAAATGACGATAAATTGTGCTGCACAAGTGCCCGTTGGCTAGCGGAATGGGGTAACCAGAACAAAACATCAAACAACTGCCCTGCATAGTCATATATAGTGCACGTTGATACTCCAGCACCTCAAATGCTGTCATGCAATCTGATGGTCTGATAACTACTTTTGAGTTCACAGCTGAAACAACATCTGCCCCAAGAAACTCCGCTACTGTGTAAGCTCAACTTGATTGGGACACACCGAAGACTACGCATGGGGAACTATGACGGCCACAGGGTATTCAAAAGCTGGTTTTATCTAGATGAGTTTGCGTCAGTGGATTACTCGTGGTGGCCACTGGAGTTGCGCCTTAACAGATTTATCAGTGGCACAGATCAGATGCTCAACCCCATCTGCCTATGACGTAACTGAGCGCTATCAAAAACCAAGAAAAGGGGACGATCTAGTTAACAAAAACATGCATACCTCTATTTGAACCTCGAATGTCTTCACTCAGTACAAAACTAATTGTTCGCAATACCTTGACCGTTCTGGAAATAACACTATGGACTTCTCGTCTCAGGCCATCTTCGGTCTAGGTATTGTTGTGATTATACATTCCAAACCAGAATATATCTTACCGTCTTCCTCGGCCATCGAGTACACTACGTGCCTACCGACACGGGAAGATCCTAGCGAACAGCGGTTCGTCACCACGCACATGTCAACAGACGCTTTTCTACTACCGGCCCTGTGGTACGACTTACAAGGTAGGGATGTACACTCCGTGGAGACCGCCTTGTTTGTTGATCAACGAGGACACATGTGCTGTACGCTAAACCTTTATAATCCCCGATTTGCTTCACGGGTATGACGAAACAAGTGTTTTGTCTCTTCTCATCTCTTTCCTCAAATGGGCATACGTGCATACCAAGAGTTCAGGAAGGCAAGGAGACCAAACACCGCACCTACACTAGGTAAGTACATTCCAGTTTGAAATCATAACTATTGTTCAAGGTAAGCGGTGGCAAACTGGGTGAGGGTACACTAGAGCAGCTTTGCCCCTCTCCCCCATGTCTCGGGACTGAGTGTCGCTCCTACAGTCAATGGAAATTCCCTTGATTCCCATCAAGCGCCTGCATCGAAAATTACCCCTGGTTCGCCTCTTCTTCAGCCACACACCCGTGACACCCCAAACAGGGTGGTATTTCCCGGCTTTGTCAATAATGACTGCCGCTCTCTCCACAGTCCAATCCGGACTCCTCCCTCGCCATCGCTGTTAGCGATCTTATTCCCGATGTTTCTTCCCATCAAGCGCCTCTCGAGTTTGATGGCGCTCGAGCAACAGCGACTGCACATCTTCGCCTGGACGGCGGCTCAGGACCGGGTCTAGCACTCCCCGCCAACCCGGTGAACCAATCCCGATGTGACCTGTGAACTTGTTGAGCCTGGGCACCGCCTCCCAGACCCAATCTGTTGATCGGGCACGGTTCTAGATGCAGATAATTATCCCCAGCCCTAGTCTTGTGTGAATGCCGAACCCTACCGCGCGTGGGTTTGGCCACCCACAAGCCTTGAATAGCAGATCTGCGGCCCCCTCGCCCATCTGGGTTCGCGAGAGGGCCACACCGTTGCCTGAATGGGGTTCCAGGAGGAGCTTTTGGTTTCACGGGCTCACCCACGTCTCTGGCCAAGAAAATGGGCACCACAGTACACCTTGAGCAAGTTAGCTTTGACAGGTGTTGTTGGGAAGAGATTGAGAACCATAGACACATTTCGCCGCCGTGCTCTCCCAGCATTACGCATTACGCCACTGAACATAATCCCCCCGTTATTCTATCGCACGACGAAACAACTGCGCAGATATCACCTGTTCACGGAACTCTGGCGTGTCTGTCTGTCGTAACAGCTTCGGGCTACTGCCGTGTGAAGTTAGTTTAAAAGGTTCATCCGACATCATCCACTAACTGGTCCTGACTTCTGAGCCTTGCTGCCCACACCACTGGACCGGATCGCTGTTTTGTTCGCGGTGTCTCTCCAGTTGGGAGGGATCTCGTTCTGTCTCGCCTCCACGCGCTACTTCCCTGTCTCCTCCTGCTCTTTGCAGATGAACGACCCGCCGCATCGTTAGACCCGGACGAAACATACCGGGCATTTTCCCCGCCAGATTTGTGTGTCCAACCCATTGGAGCAGCCCTACCGAGTGCTATCGTATCGTGGCGAAGAGTTTACTGGCTGTGCCTACCTAGCTTGGTATCAACCCTATCTTGATATCGTCTGCCCGGTGGACTTGCCTCGGCGTTCGATTTTTCTCCTTCTGGCTTTCTGACCTTGCCATCAAGCTGTCAAAGCTGGGTTTTAAAGGAAATCAAGCTGAAGCTGTGCATCACCCAAGAGCCTACCCAAAAGTATCACACACCCCTGTACCCGAACCTCTCTCGCCCTTGCATTTGACGCTTAACCACGGCGATCTCCCTCCCAAAAGATTGGGATTCTGTCAGGTTCGAGAAGCCCTCTACACCCCCCCTCGCACACTTCCCACTAGAGACATCATTTGGGTCGTGTGAGTGTTGTTGAGAGACTGCTTTCTTGCCATAATCTGCACCCTACAACACAGAAAAAGCAGGAGAACTGAGCAGGTCTCTGGGTGGCGGTATCCCAAATAGACTCTTGAAGCTGGGTTTGATAGCCTTTGGCATCCCAATGGGAGATACACCACTCCAGCACGGCGCTCCAACAGAGTTCCTCGGACAAGACGCCCCTCCGGGAACGCTTTCGGTCTCATCCTCAAGTCTCGGGCCGGGTCACATCGCTGCTGAGCATCCGTCCGTGTACCCCTCGACACGCCCTCAACAGCAGCCAGACGCCGGATCGCAACATGCTTTTGCAACTCAACTCGAAATGACGCATCAACAAAGAACCGGGGGCTTCGATATGAGCAGCATGGCCAACGCCCTGCCCCAGCAAGCATACCGACCGGGCCCTTACGGACAAAGCCCACAGAGATATAACGCGCCTGGAATATCATCCCCCGGAACGGCGCCTCAAATCCCTGTCTCTCAATATGGGGCACCGAACGCTATGGGACCGGCCGCCCCTTCTCCTCAGTATTACATACCACAACCGCATATGGCGGCGCAGTACTACCCGACTCCCCTACCCCCCCAGCAGCCAGCGGGTGCTAACATGCCACCTCCGGGAGATGTGAACTACTATGGTAGCCATGTTGTTGTGAACCAACAACATCACCCAGGCGCACACTACTATTACCCGCCGACCGCACACTTTGCTGGGCAGTCACCGCATGTAGCAACACAGCTCATGCTTGGACAGTATGCGCAATCGAATCTGCACCACCTCGATGCTGGTGCGCAACACCCGCATCTCAACAATCAAGGGGTTCCCATCCATTCCCCAGCCCATCATGGAACGCGTGAGTTGCTTCACTAGTCCCGCACGCAAGTCTCATCTCTAATGTCAAACAATAATAGCCTCGACAGAAAGCCGTCAAAATAATGTTGTTCGCGGTCCTCCCCGAAAGCCGCGCCAGAGTGGTGAGTGTTCTCAAGTCTTCCCGAGTGTTGGTGGACTCAACAAGAACTGACAAAGTCTCCTGAACAGGCCACGCCATATGGATCGGCAACCTACCTCCTCAGACAGAGCTCATGAGCTTGGTTCATCACGTCTGCAAGGAAGCTGATGGACTGGAGTCACTGTTCCTCATCTCGAAAAGTAACTGCGCGTTCGCGAACTTCAAGGACGAACAGTCATGCATCGCGGCGCAACGAAAACTCCACGACTCCAAATTCATGACTGTCAGACTGGTCAGCCGGTTGCGAAAAAGCACGGTAGAAGGACCTGCCGGTATCACGGCACCGACAGGACCGGCTATCTCGTCAACGCCGACGGTAACAGCGGCTCAGGAACAAGCTGCTACTATTGGAGCCGATTCGGATGAAACAAAAACTCCCGCTTCTTCGACGCCGGCGGCCGCTGCCGATTCGAGTGTAACAAGCCCCAAGGTGGAAAGTGGTTCTTCTCAGAAGGACAGGTTCTTTGTTCTCAAGAGTCTGACGGTGGAGGACTTGGAGCTGAGTGTCAGAACGAATATATGGGCGACTCAGTCGCATAACGAAGGGACCCTCAACAATGCCTTTAAAGTAAGTGTTCTGGCCATGTTCTCAACCTGATTTCGTTATTTCAACGTACAGGACACACCTGGCTAACTGTGTTTCCAAACAGGACTCGGACAACGTCTATCTCGTATTCTCTGCAAACAAATCTGGCGAATACTTTGGCTACGCCCGCATGACATCTCCCATCAACGACGACCCCGCAGCAGCGATAGAATTTGCACCCAAGGCACAGTCCTCGGCTGATGTTGACCTTCCCAAGGCCATAGCCACCGAAGCCACCGAATTCGCGCCCAAGGGCCGGATTATCGATGACTCTGCCCGCGGCACCATTTTTTGGGAGGCAGACCGCGGAGACCAGACGCCTGATGGCGGGCAAGATGAGGAATCCGGTGGGTCGGTCGGTGGGGACGGTGGAAGTGTCCAAGGTGTTGGTCAAGAGAATGGGGTTGGTGTTGAGTCTAAAGCATGGGGCAAGCCGTTCCGACTGGAGTGGTTGTCAACGGCGAGGCTTCCGTTTTATAAGACTAGGGGACTTAGAAATCCCTGGAACTCCAACAGGGAGGTGAAGATTGCCAGAGACGGTACAGAGCTGGAGCCCTCAGTTGGAAGGAGGCTGATTGGGTTGTTCAACAGGATACAGAGTCCGGCCATGCCTATCATTCCAGGAATGGGGCCAGGGCCAGTGCCTGTGCATGTCCCTGTGTCAACGGCCGGAATCCCGCTGGCAGCCGGTGGCTACCCCCTGCCGCCGAATGTGTTGATGAGGTGATTAATTGGATATGGGTGCTTTGTGTGTCGAGTCTCTTGGAAGGATGCTGCTGGCTGGCAAAGACTTGTACGATGGTACCTACTACTAGAGACAGCGACATGCTTCCCTCGTCGTGTATTTTGAATGGCATCTCTATAGTGTACAATCAGCCTTGTTCTATTGATTGCTTGTCTTACCTTCCAGTACATAGTCTGGCATCAATGAGCTCTGCATCAAGCTTGGGTAAAGCTTCCCATGTCTTCTGCCTCAGTGCCTTCTCAGCTAGCTAGTTACACACGGACCACTTAGTGCAGTGTGCACCGAAAGCTGTCGAAGCTTCTAACTGGTTCGGTTGTGGTGTCAAGAGTGGCCCCACCCTTCCCGTCTTGGCAGGAACTGGTGCCGAAACATGGATGCCCTGTCTAGCCGCCATCAAGATAACTTGACCTTCAACATCGATATCAGATGGTTGTGGTAACCTTTGGTGTTGCTGAAGGAAGGCGTAACTAAAACATGGTCATCTGAGTGTGCTCAACTGGCTAGGTAGAACGCGAGCAGATGGCGTAAACGCCTCTCGCTCAACAACTGATGACTCCGATGGTGTGAATCACCGCCGGCCTGGCCACATCGATATCAGAGACAGCCACCGGGTATCTACGCCAAAGTATGACTTCTTGAAAGAGCAAAAAGCATGCAAAATCTAGGTAATTTCCAGTTCTGATTTGTCCATTTGCTAGGCAGTATGAAAGTCTAAAGTTGATTCTCATTTGTTTTTGGATGAGTTGTGGTGGACTTTGGAACCTTCTGGAGCCTTCGCAAGTCAGCCTTCCTTCCTTTTGTTTCTGGCAAGTCGACCTGCAAATGCAGTGTGTGCAGCACATCATGATGCAAACACCTCTTTCCGCAGCGTGTCATGCTTCTGCCCGGAGCATCAGGTCCTTTCTAGAAGCTACAGGTAGCATCACACTCTTTTCTTTTTGCTGTGGGCTTGAAGCTTGTGGAAAACGCCATCAGGCTTGACCAAAGCTCCTCTCAAGTATATTAAGCCTTTGAATCTCTTTCAACCTCTCCAACTCTTTTCTCCCAAGATCAACAACAACAAAGCAAAGCAAAGCAACCACAACAAGCTCTCAGCTCTCAAACGCACTTCAATCTTCCCCGCTCTTCATAACAACTTTCCAATTCTCACAACTCAACAACAACAACCTTCAACCACTCTTTAAAAATGTTCTCCCGCAGCTTCTACGGTGCCGACCCCAGCTTCACTCCCCTCTTCCGCCTCCTTGACGACTTTGACAACTACTCGCGCGAAGTCCAAGGTAACGGCAACGACAACCACCAGAACGGATCCCGCAACTCTCGTCGCGCCATTCGCACCTTCACCCCCAAGTTCGACATCAGCGAGTCGGTCGATGCCTACGAGCTCCACGGCGAGCTCCCTGGCATTGCCCGCGAGGACCTCAGCATCGAGTTCACCGACCCCCAGACCATTGTGATCAAGGGCAAGGTGGAGAGAACCCGCACCGCCGGAACCCCTCCCGCGGGTCTCCTCGAGAACAACGACCAAGCCAGCAAGGCCATCACCGAGAGCGGCGAGGACCAGCACCCTTCTCACAAGGTCACCGTCGAGGATGAGAAGCCCGAGGACGAGAAGGCCACCAGCACCACCACCGTGGCCAAGACCGGCGAGAACAAGGAGGCTGCCACCCACCACAAGAACAAGCAGCCCGAGACCAAGTTCTGGCTCCAGGAGCGCTCGATCGGCGAGTTTAGCCGCACTTTCAGCTTCCCCAGCCGGGTCGAGCTCGACGGTGTCAAGGCTGGCCTCGACAATGGCATCTTGACTGTTGTGGTGCCCAAGGCGAAGAAGCCTCAGGTCCACAAGGTTCCGATCTGCTAGATTCAGTTCTGAGGACTTGCCAGGTGAGAGGCATGGAAGACATGAGTTGTTCGGAGTGATGGAAATGCATGGTGTTATGGAATTGGTACTTATGAGCATTGCTAGGCGTCTTTTGGAAGGTATCGAGTTAGGCACGCACAAGATACGGAGGATTTTACTCGGCACAGTATCGGGTTAGTTAATGGGATTGTGGAGGAGGATGATTGATCATGCATGAGATTTGGTGCCTGACAGTACATGGTAGTCTCACGGCTTTGGTAGTCAATGAAATAAGTTTTCGTTATAATCTTTTCCCTCGATTGATGTGACTTGGACTGTGATCTGACATGCATGTCTCTCCATGAATTGTTACCGAGAAGAATTGTGCAGCGGTTGAGGTGCAAAGAGCCTGCTCCGGTTCCTATTCATGATTGGCTATCGTGTATACGAAGCGACAGCTTCTCATGAATGGAGGGCAAATGCCATCAATTGCGCATTCGCTGACGACATCGGAGCTAAGACGGATATGATGTTCTTGGAAGCGTACCAGCTGATAGTGTAACCTCTGTATCTCCAACTGTAAGTAAACAACGTACGTACAATCAGATTGATCACCTTTTTCCCACGAGACAACAAAAATACAACATTTTTGCAAAAAGATCTCCCAAGATACCATGTCCACCACTGCTATCTCGTTCCGGCTCCCCAAAGCTGCGAGCCAAGGCTTCCAGAACGCTTCTGCTTACGACACCCACCGGCCCTCATACCCTCAAGAAGCCGTCACTTCGTTACTTTCCGCGCTGGGACTGCTGGGCAAGCAAAATACCAAGATCCTCGAGATTGCCGCTGGCACGGGGAAGTTCACCGAGCTGCTTGCCAACCGAGAGGAGGGATTCAACGTGATAGCCGTTGAGCCCCACGGGGACATGAGGGGTCAGCTCGCTGGGAAGGGGCTAAAGGGTGTCGATGTGAGGGATGGTCATGCGGGAAGGTTGGCGGTGGAGGATGGGGAGTGGGCGGATGGGTATATTGCTGCGCAGAGCTTTCATTGGTGAGCCTCTCTTTTGTCGCGTCTTGGAAGTGTGAGAGAGATATTGTTCGGGAACACTGATCAACGCGACGAGGGGACAATAGGTTCGCAAATAAGGAGACGTTGAAGGAAGCTCATCGAGTCTTAAAAAAGGGGCGAGGGTTAGGTGCGATTTGGAATATTGAAGATTGTGAGTTGATGATGTTTGCTCGATGGCTCGGTTCAGTGAGCTGATAGTCACGGTAACAAAGACAACAAACCCCGTGAGTGGAAGGCAACGACTACGTGGGAGGAGAAACTGAACTCATGGTATGACTTTTCTAGACAGGAAGGAGAATAGTAGAGCTGATCAATATTAACAGGATTTATTCCATATCATCCGACGGCCAGCCTCGTTTCCGCGATGGCCAATGGAGAGGTGCCTTGGAGGACCAACAACTATTCGCGCTTCCACTTAGTGAGGAAACCGTGAAATGGACAGTGTGGCTGTCGGAGGGTGCGCTTTGGTCTCGTATCAACACTCTCAGCCAGGTGGCGATACTGGAAGGGTCAGACAGAGAGGCGGCTGTCAGGGTGTTCAAGGAGGCGCTTCAGTCACCAGATGTTGAGAGGAACGAGAAGGGAGAGATTGCTCTTCATGGCGTTACCTACTTTGTGTGGACCAAGAAGCTCGACTCTTGAGATTTCTTCCAAACCACCAGCCCCAAAACTCCTCAGCAGGATATCAGACCCTACTCCCATGCCGCCGGATGCAGTGAATAACAGATTAAAACTTCTTAATCGGCAGCGATATACATGACTGGAAACATGTTAGAATCATAGTCAAAACTCATGTGTGTATTCGGTGAGGTGGTCACAACATACCATTGTTGCCTCTGACAAAGGCGTCGCCGTAGCTTCTTCGCTTGGCGCCATTAACATACTCCTCGGTCTTTTCCAGGGCAATGTTCATGTATCCATCCACAGACTGCAGCTCCCCTATTTTCATTTAATCTGTCAGTGGGATTGTCCTCTCTCAAAAGTTGGGCGGGACTCACCCTTGTAAACAACACCTGAGTTAAGCTTGACTGTGACAGGATGTCCAATGATTTCGCTGAGCCAGCCTGATGGGTCCTTGCCCTCTCCCTGAGTTATAGCGCCGTTCTCCATGATTAACTGAGTGACCGGTTGATAGTATTGGGCTGTTGTTCACAGAATCGATGTCGTTAATTGAGCGTGGCTCTATTCTGGATGAGTGGGTTGAGTGAATGAATGAGTTGAGTGTGATGTGTTGTTGCAAGGGGTGAGTGGTTCAGTGGTGACTGCAATCTGGGCCCACTTTCTTCTCTTTCAACACAGAGGCACGGGCCACGTGGAAGCTCCGGCGGCCCCCTGAAGGCAGGTGCAACTCCAGTTTCACCAACCAACATGGATGGATGAGATGTCTGCCTCAATATGATCCAACTCTGCAGTTCACCGAAGAGACATGTATATACATACATTTCTATCCAATTCCCAGTGAATCTGATACATTTGTATCTGCTGCAATTCTGAGAATCCTCCTTCTTGTCTTTTTCGTCTCATTTTCTCCAAGTGACTCACTCACCCATCTCATCTGGACCAGCCTTATTCACTACCTATCAACAACCTGCCCGGTCTGACACCCACCACTGACCAAGATTCCATAAGTAAATAGAGAGCGGTTCCTATTTTGACTGGCATAAGTATCAGGAACCTGATTCCCGACTTTCTTTTCAACCATCACCTTCTTTGCTCTGCAGTAGGCCTCATCGTCCCCCCAGTCAAGCTATTCAAGTCGGTCACTCATATCGGCCAAGCACCAGAGCCTGACAGTACTTCCAGCCTGCTCGTTTAATTCTATCAAAACTCTCATTTAACTCTATTGGTCTTTAATATATACCTTCTATCTATTAGCCGGAGCTCTTCCATCCATCATGGGCGGCTCAGCCTTCTCAGACCTGGAGAATCCTCCATACACTCCTCGCATGCCCACAGATATCTACGAGCAGGTAAAGGCATCCTGTCATACCGCTCTCGAAAAGATTTTCCTCCACGTGGCCACCCCCGTCGAGGGCCCTGCCAAAGCCGACCACGGCGACATCGACATCCTCGTCGCAAACGAGCGGCGTCTCACACTTCAGGATTCCGATGAAGACACGACTCCCTCGCCCCTGCCCACACTACACACCAAGATCCGAGAAGCACTAGGCGCAGAATTCCACAAAGCCGTCCACAACACCACAAACCTAGTCGTCCCTTGGCCCGGCTCCAACGGACAAAAACACATCCAAGTTGACGTCCGTATCTGCAAGAACGAAGAGGAGCTAAACTGGGTGAGCCCTCCCCCCTTCTTTCCCCCAGAACACAACCCAAACTAACATCCCCTCAACAGTACCTCTTCAAACACAGCCACGGTGACCTCTGGAACCTCCTCGGCTCCACCATCCGCCCCTTCGGCCTGACAGTAGACGAATCCTCCCTCTGGATCCGCATCCCAGAAATCGAAAAATTCGACCGCAAAAAGGCCAAAATCCTCCTCACCAAATCCCCAACCGCAATCCTCACCTTCCTCGGCATCAGTCTCGAGCCGTTCAAGTCCGGCAAGCCTTTCCCAACGGTGGAGGCCCTCTACGAGTACGTAACCACCTGCCGCTACTTTTTTGTCCGCCCCGCCTCGGAAGAAAATGACGGCGATGGCGCTGGCCTTGTAGGAGGCGAGGAAGGCGTCAAAAAGCTCAAGAGCAATGACCGGCAGAGGATGAGGCAGCGGGCTGTGTACAGGAGGTGGATAGAGGAGTATATCCCCAGTCTTCGGGAGCAGGGCCTGCACGTCAGGTCGGATGTCTCGGTCAAGAAAATGCGCGCCTCGGTGCAGGAGGACGCTTTTGCCGCGTTTGACGTGGAGGTGGAGTGGAACGCACGGCTGAAGGAGTGGCGGTTGCAGAAGAATGTGGAGGCGACGAGGAAGTTGATCAAGGAGGTCATACCTGCCGACGTTACGGATGTGAATTATAGGGGTTGCTTGCTGTCTGGGTTGAAGAAGATCATTATGGAGGATGGCGATTCAGCTGGGTTCGAGTTCGTTTCCCGCCCAGACTTCAAAAATGAGGATGGGCTTTATGACGAGGAGGTTATCCGGCGTTTTGTGGAGGAAAAGATTGACGAGGTAGGCAAGGTGGCGTTGGAAGTGCAGCTGGAGAGGTCAAGGGCAGCGATGCAAAAAAAGAGGGAGAAGATGGCAAGCGCCGCAGAATAGGCGTTTCAAAGGGGAGGAATGATGACAGGAGGAACGAGATACCGCATTGTCACTATACTTAGCAAATCATAACTTCGCTCAAAGAGCATTGTAATTTCACACTCATATTACCCGCCGCTTTTTGCAACCCCCTCAGATCATGTCAGTCTGTCCAGTAGATACAATTTAGTAACTGCTTTGCATACGTTCCACATCATGAATTCCAGCAAATGTTCCCAGCAAATCCACACAGCTAAATTAGACAATATTACCAGTCAAAATCCGACGACTCCCCAGCATCTTCCATCTCAATATCCTCTTCCTCGCCTTCCATCTCACAATCACCACTGAGGCCGCCATCCTCACCGACATACTCTGCGAGACCATCAAGAGCCGCCTGCCTAGCATCTCGCATCGCCTGCTCCAACATGGCCCTCATATCAATAGACGGGTCCCCGTTCTTAGCTCTCTCCAACACACCTCTAGGCAGCGCGAGAAGCCACCTTGTCAAAAAAGTTGCCTCGATCTGCCTTTGCAACTCTTCACCCGAGAGCCTTGCTGGCACCTGCGTCAAGCTGACCCCAGCCTCCAACATCTCGACAATCTCATCCGCTCGATTCAGAATACGGGCCGGTATGCCTCGCATCTCGGCACACTTTATTCCCAAACTTGATGGGCCCCGCCCCGGCAAGAGACGATGCAAGTATGTGACCTGGTCCTCGATCGCATCTGCTCCCAGGTTGAGACGAACATCCATGTGCGCCAAAGCAAGGTCGTCTTCTTGGTAGCCATCGAGTAGGCCATTTTCGAACACCTCATGAAAGTGCGTTGCTGCAAGAACCTTTGGTTGCTGCGATTTCCCAAGCTCGATAAAATGGGACAGATATGAAGCGAGAAGAGCCGCGCCGTTTGATGCCGTGGTACCCTTTCCAAACTCGTCGACTACAAGTAAGCTCCTCTTTGTGGCAAAATTCAACGCAAAAGCTGCCTGCTTTATATCGATCATAAAAGCACTTTGGTCGTCGAGAACTGTCTCGCGCGTCAGAATTCTCGTCAGAATGCGGTCCGTCAGACCTATTGTGGCTCTCCCTGCAGGGACAAAACTCCCCACATGGGCCAGCTGTACAATGAGCGCAACCTGTTTCATGTAGACGCTCTTGCCTGAATCATTGGGGCCGGTGAGTACTAACATACACGGCTTGCCTTCGTACACCGTAAAGTCTTCCTCGTCGGATACCTCGGAGCCATACAACCCGGTACTAGAAGCGCGTTGGGACAAAGTCGAGGGGCGTGATGGGGCTTGTGTAGTTGGCCAGCTGAAAGCAATCTCTGGAGAGGATATGGATCGGGAAGCCGACATGAAGCTTGCTTCGGTCCTCTGATAGTTTTCCAATTCGTCCATGGTGTTTTCCTTCTCTTCACCGCCCATATTTTCCTGGTCCGGGTCGAGGGACATGCGGTTATACCCGTCATCATCAACAAGGCTGTCATTGTACCAAAAACTGTCATTCATGTTCAAGTCGTGTGTGTTCTTGGTGGAGCATATAGAAGCGGTCTCATCAGCCCCTTCCATGCACTCGTCTTCGTCCAGGCTTCCATGTAGTTTGGTTTTCCCAAACCCACCTCGCAAACTACAATTGTTGGGTATAAATGACGGAACTACCAACTCTTGGAGGGGGTGGCGTCCGTCGATAATGTCGATGATGTTGGAAGTGGTCATCGTAGGTGCCACCCAGTTGTACTTTTCCGCCGCGGAGGCCAATGCTGACAGACTGTCAAGTTCACCGTATATTTCCGAGGCGGCGAGGATTGCCTTTTCCTGCTCTCGAACATGGCCAGATAGCTCCATGACCAGAAGCATTTCTTCTTCGGTGATGTAGGATGGTAAGTCGCCATATTGTGAGTCGAGATCGTGCATCAGCTTGTTCTTGTAATAGGCGACTCCTTCGGTCACAAAGACCAGTTCCCATTCATCATCGAGGAGGTCATGCCCATAGTAGACCCCCACGCCGGTATCTGGCTTGATGGCAACACCGATAAGAAAGCCCGACTGTTCCATGACGGTGCAGTGTAGAATATGTTTGTTTGCCCACCTGGGAGCCTCCCTCGCAATGTTATCCCTGATATCAGGAAGCATGTCACAGACCTCCGCCAACTCTTGCCTAAGCTGATCCAGTCCAGGGCTTGCACCCGACAAAATGATGGTACGTTGGCTGTCCTTGGAAGCCTCGAAGTCAAATGTTCTCATGATTTTGTCGGCAAGAAGAAGAAACGGACGAGGATCAATCGTGTCGCAGATCTGCAGAAATCAGTCAGCTTGAAGTTAGTTTTCAACATTGAAGTGCTAATGGCTTGCCTTGGAGATGATCTCAAGCCCCGAGGTGCGGACAAGTGAGGTCACGGCCTGGTGAACGTTGGCAGCAACTGTAGCAAAGCGAACCACAGCTTTCCAGTCGCCCATTCGGAGCGACAGATGGCCCCTTACACGATCCACGCCTTTCTTTACGTGGAGCAGCAGTGTCTTGGGACTCTTCAACCTCTTGAGCAGTTTGCGCATACTCTTCACGATTGAAACATTCTCTGGATCCAACATCATATGAATCGTCGACTGGCGTTGATGTATCACGTCGAGGTTGAGACTTGGCCGCAGCAGCATCTGGCGCACTTTCTGCTTTCCCTGCGTCGTTGATGCCAGCGAGGCCAGAAGGTCCGCTACAGAGAGGTTTTCTTTGGCTCGTGGTTCGTCGCTAGACCCGCGGAGTCCAGGAATGGCTTGAAGATGCGGACGTATAATGTTAAGAGATATCAGGGCATCGGCGCCGAGCAGCATGGTATCTGTGGAAAGGTTCATCTTGATACGTTTCACCCGGAACGGAACCTTCCCTTCTTCACCGGAGCCGGACTCTTCCTCCACTGCCCTTCGGCGTTCGAGGTCGGTGAGAACTGCCCCAGCACACCCTACAGAAAGCTGGCTTTCCAAATTGATGATTCTTGCCAGGCGCACAAGGTTGATATGGCTAGAAGACCCAATGCATTGAATAGGCTCTTCCTCTCCAGACTGCACCTGAAGGGGGTCGGGCTCTTGCGACTCGTCCGAGAAAATGCCGACATTGGCTAATAGCTCTCTCGCTGTGTCGTAGTTGAACTGTGCTGAAACAAGGTGGCGTAAAATATACGGGCCTTTGTCTGTACGTGATGTCTGATCATCATCGAACTTTTGTGCGTTTGGTTCGAGAAATTGAACTAGTGAATCCGCTGCACGATTGGAAATGAGAACCGAGGTTGGCTCCAGGTGAAGGAGAAAGGTTTCAACAGTCTCTATGCCTCCCATGGCTATGTCGTCCTCAAGAAACAGCGTTTCATCCACGGCGCTATAGTAAGCACAGCCCACTTTGCCCTCCCGATCCATGTTGACGGCCATGATGACTTCATTCAGAGTGTCATGGTCGTGGCTAACGCTTTCATCCACAGTTATGCCCCCATAGTACGAAGGAGTGTTATGTCTCGAGCTCATGTACGTGGACTCCCGTGATTGCCATGGCCGGCGCATGGATGCTGCTCTCGAAGGCTCCGTGGAAGTCGTTACTGATGAAGTTGACGAGATGGAAAAGTATTGGCTCGACCGGATAGATGGAGTCTCTATCTGGGATTTTCTCCGCCGACGACTTTCTCCTGTTGCTGTCCAGGAGTTTGACCTGCTGCTTTTGGATTCTTTGGAGATGCCAGACCGCAAAGTGGACTTTGAACGTCGGGAAGGAGATGAGGACCTCGAGTGCCGCGAAGTAGACAGTGACCTTGAACGTCGCGACGACGACTTCGACCTACCATTGGCAGAGGGAGTGGTGCTTGTAGAGGAAGATCGAGAACTCCTATGGCGGACCTGTTCTCGTGAGCTTCTGGACGGATGGCTGCTAGTATGATGTCGCGATTCATGTCGCGACAGCAAGGAATGGGACGCATTGTCCTGGTGAGAAGGTTGAGATTCTGCAAGTCTGTCTGCATCTTGATAATTGTGAGGGGTGAAGTAGCGAGAAGTTGACAATGATTCTGCATAGTCCGAAGACAATTGGCGAGATGACGGCGTGTGATCTGTTAGGGCATAACCTGATGAAGCATATTCCGATGATCGATAGCTCAAAGATGTATCAGGGGCGGGGTGTATGATATCTTCAGAACCAGAAGGGTTGTGCGATGCCGACAAAGTCCGGCCACGCTCGACTGACGAGTCTAACAAGGATACCGGGGAGGAAGGGTAGTCGGAGGTCTGCGGGGATAGCAAATGAGAAGCAGTCGAGTATGCACTCCTGGTGCTTCGGGCACTCCGGCCACTGCGGGCGCTTTCACTGGGTGGCATCTGTGCTGTTCGTACAGCTTTGGCATTGAAGTGAGGTAGGGCTGACTGATAGTCGAGATGCCGACTAAAGCTGTTGTACTGGTCGTGGGTGATTCAGAGGTAAAATCCCCGACTGGGCCCAGAATCCGCGACACAGGGCTAAGGCAGAAACATAACATATACAACAGAAGGGGATTCTCGGATGTTGAAAGGGATGATTGAAGAAAATACAGGCGGTAAAGCGGACAAAACATCTCGGGCTGTCTTGTGTGTTGCTGTATTTTGGGAGGAAGGAGCTTCCTGCCCCAAACCCCCTCCTTCCTGCTGAAGCATGACACACTCACAAGTAAAAACTGGGTATCGATTCCTGCTGTACTTCGTCCTCAACAAAACCATCTAGCAGAGGTAGAAAATATCAAAACAACCATGGATCATGTTCCAAACAATCCAGTGATTCCCACCCTCACTTTTGCTCTTGCCCCTGACCTTTCACCCACTCGGTAAACTCATTGCGTTGCTTCCGAATGTCCACAAAGTTTGGCCTACCCTCGATGTACGCGAACGGATTGCCCAAGTAGTCCCGGTTCACCTGCCCGTTGTTGTCCTTGAACCCGTCCTCGCCCTCCCTTTCAATCTTCCCAGCCCACTCGCGCCACTGGATCGGGCGCAGGGGGGATGTGCCGAGAACCAGGCCGACAAGAATAACCAGAATAGCAACAGCCGTTTCGATCGCGATATCTATCGGCAGGGATGTGGCAGCGGTGGGAGTTGACGTCAATGCCGCCGAGGTGGCAGCTCGGAACGACTGCAGGGCCGAATGCTCCTGGGCCGAGTAGCACCTATCGGGGGAATTGTCAGCGCATTGCTCGTTCTGACGGCCGATGGGGAATGTCCAACTTACGCATGTGCGAGTAAAAGACTGCCAAAAGCAGTGATGGACTTGGATATTAACGTCATGGTGGAGGAATTTGGGTTTATGCCTTTTGCTGTTGACTTGGAGATGCTTCTGGTGACGACGATGCCAACTGGTTGGGAGCACTCCCAGAAATGCCAAGGAAGCAGGGGCCATATCCCGATAGTTGCATAGCCGCAACGGTCCAGTTGTGTGCATGCACTTAAACGAAAACTTTCACCCCCTATTCTCATTGTCTCCAAGACACGGTCCCAAGTACTCGGTTCTTTCATCCAAACCCGTCCATCTTCCAAGAACTCAAGCTGACGGGAACCTGTCTTTGATTCAACCTGGCCTCTTTTTGTTTTCTGGCTGCTACAAGCTAGCGATGTTTCACAGATCGGGACGGGGCGGGCTGGGCCACAAAATATGCATAATAGCATTATCTGGTGGCTCCTACAAAGAATCCTGATGTCCGAAAAACTACCAAAGAACAATAAAATTCACTTTCACCACCCCCCTCGGATCCGAGGCTAACCTGAACAAAACAACGAAACAATGTAGCATGGAAAGATATGTACAACCAGATCAGTTTTCTGTGTCCCCTATCGACAGTAGGTTGCTTTCCCCCCCTTCTTTTGCGCTCGCTCTCTCCCTGCTTCTTTCTTGGTTCTGCCCATTTCCCATATTGCCCTCCTCAAGAATGAGAAGACCTCAACTCGCACCTTTTCTTTTGTGCCCACCCAATGCTTTTTTCTTGAATAAATACAGCAGCTGTCATTTTTACGCCCGACTGAGTGACTATTGATCAGCCTTGGTTTCGGCCCAGTTGGCCTCAAAGTGCGCCCCTTCTGACAAAGGCTCCATCCGCCACTCGTCTGCCCCCCCGAGAAACTGGCTGTGCTGCTCAACCGAAAGTGTGTTGTCGAGCCCTAGGTTGAAGTGGGAGAACTGGTTCTCTGGGTTGTTGTTGGATGTCAGCTGGCCTGTTTGCCAACCATGCTGCGAATTGTTGGTGCCGGCGAGCCCGGTGCCGTCGAAGAGGTTGGATATGGAATTGTTGATGTTGTTGAGGTTATTTGTTCCGTTGAAGAGCTCCTCGTGAGACATCAACGACGGATCGATACGGTGCTCAAAGCGGGGGGGCTGGGGTTGGGAATGACCTTGTGACTGGGATTGTGAATGAGCTTGTTGCTCGTGAGAAGGGCGTGTGTGTTGTGGGTGGTGGTATTGATTCAACTCGTAATGCGAGGGCAATCCGTGGGTGTGTTGTTGGAATGCCATACTCGGCGATGGCGTCTTGCGCATCAGAACATCCTCTATCATACCTGGGTGCAAGTGGCTCCTTTGGGTGTTCTGGATGTGGCTCTCGTAAAAGGTGTTCGTTAACCCTCGAGTGTCGTATGCGGACGGCATTGGTTTCCCCGGGTTGGAAAATTCAAAGGCCGATCGGTTCTGGTGATGAGGCCCTAGCCCGTGCAATCCCATCAGAGGGTGATGGGTTGCGGCATAGACGGAGCGACTTGGAATGTAGTCCCCGTCGTCGTTGGGCGTGTTGGTAGCAGACCGCATCCGGGCCGCCGCGTGTTGCCAGTCGCCATACTCGTCCAAGTCCGAGGCTTCACTGTGGGCGTCGAAGTTTTCGTCGTACTTTGCTGGCTTGTGAGGTTTGGACGGCGTGAACTTGTAGTTCGGGTGCGCTTTTTGGTGGTTGTCACGTTCGAGGTCGGCCCAGGCTTTGAACTGCTGTCGGATATGCTCGGGCTCAAGTGGCCAGCTGGAACCGCAGACCCGTGAGACGATTTGATGGTTGTGTTGAGACGCCCATTCTTTGGCACGTTGCTGATAGGCCTTGCGATACAGCATGAAGGCGTTCATGGGCCTTTTGACCTTGCCGGGGTTCTTCCTGCACTGGGTGACCTCGTCTTGCCGTGCGGTGGCGTCTCGGTTCACGTACGTCTCGATATCGGTGATTGGAATGGCCGAGTCTTTTGTCAAGTCACTCAGCGGCCTGTCCAAAGTTGGCAAATTTTTCGGCGGCTTCGCTCTTTCCTTCTTCTTCTTTTTAGACGATGCCTTTTCCACGCCCGCGCGTCTTGGTGCCAGCGCCTTCCCGATTACGATATTGCCGCCGTGTATGCTCATGATATCAGACGCCCGTGAAGGTGTAGGGGGTGACGCTGCCGGTGTGCCATAAGGCTGCGACATCTGTAATAAATTGTCAGCGATCAACCAGAGCCCGTTGCCTATCTCGACCAGGCGACGAAACTGTACTCACATCTAGAATAGGGCCGTACGGACTGCTGTCGGGATACATGGGGTGGAAGCCCGGCTACACGCAAACAATCAGCATTTTGAGCCATGGCGGGTAGATGGCAACCCTCACAATCTGAGCAACTCCACGCTGGTATGACATGGACGGATCGAAACTTTGCGAATGTGTTAACTGGGGCGCCGGGGTTCCATATCTCGAAGCCGGTTGCGATTGTACTCGAATGGAATCGGCGGCGTTCATATCGTGCGGTGTGGCAGCGTTATGTTGCAGAAGCTCATTGAAGCCGACAGGTAACGGCTCTCCTTTCGGCAGGCTTGGGGAGAGGGGGGTATTGCGATCCATGCTAGAGGTTGTGTTTTGCTTGTGTGAGAAAGTATCTCTGGGTTGAAGCCGAGGATGATGGAGGGTGAGTGGGAGGGAAAGGCAGTAGCTCAGACACCGGGGATGAGCTCTTCAAATATCTTTGCCAGTCAACCCGGACGGAGTGGCCGACTGGTTGAGTAGTCGAGGTTGGACAAACTCTAGGAGCAACCTGTAAGGATGATAGGACCGCCCCAAGATTTTAAGGGCAGAGCCTGGCTAATCGATTAGCAACCACGCAAGCATAGCAGTCTGGATAGGTATCAAGACTATCAGTGGATGGTGCAGAGGCTGCGGGAGTAGGGCCCAGGCTAGTGTGTCTTGAGGAGAAAGGTGCTGGGAAAGACGGAGTCTGCAGTGATGATTTGCTTGGATGAAGAGACAGCATCAGATGGCTTGGGAGTGTGCACCTAGCGGTGTAAGGAGGCTCTTGTCTCGCAGGCTGGTCAAGGTGTGCAGGAAGCGGTGGACATCACAAACCTTTTGCGACAGCCTGTCCTGCAGGCTGCGACACGCCCGATGGGTATTTGTGGTGGATGGACTCGTTGTCTTTCCCGGATCACGGCCTGTTGCCCCGGTCTCCTGGACAGCGAGGTGCTTGTCCACGCTGAGAGACCCTATCGGATCTCACGACCACACACCTGAAGCTTCCACAACCGGTGCTGTCTCTCCTGCCAAGGGTGTATGTTGCTTGGCCTTCCTGCTTGTTCCTTTCTTTGTTCCGGCTTCTCTAAGGGCTGGAGCTGGGGTGGGAAGCACCAGGATGGGCTTGCGGCTTTGGTGGTCTCTGCTTCTGCCGCTTCAATGAACGTGGAAGCCGTGCTTTGTCTCAGCGAGAAATTCTTGAAGGGCTGGGGAAAAAGGAAGAGGGGACCGGGTGCGTATTTGTATTCTCTTTATTGGGCTCTGGTGCTGAGCAAGCCTGGTGCGGTACTGTCCGCGTCCCCAGAGGGTTGACGCATTCGGAAGCCTGGCCGGGCCAGAAGAGCGGAACTAGGCTCTGGACGGCAGCACTGAGGAGGGAAGAAGCCGCCTTCTCGACGACTGTTGGCACTCCACATCCGCGTTCGGGGCTCAGAGTGCCAGAGCTGCTGCAGACGCCTGGCAACAGTGGAGGAGGTAGCAAGCCGACCTCTTGGGAATTATTGGAGATGCAATGACATGCTCTCTCCCGGTCCCCGGCAATACCCACCAGGAGGGGAATTCTGAGCAAACCACTCCTATCCGAACTTCACATCCCCGAGCTTTCCTGTGTTGGAACCATGTCGGCAGCAGCATAGCTCCACGTGTTCCTGCACCAACCCGGGTTACAGCAGTTAGCCAGATTTTCTCGAAGCTGAGATTGGACTCGCCCAACACCCAACAGCATCTTCAGTATTTCCCTCGCCATTTTTGACATTTGGAGTCTCAGTTACTTCTAGGTACGCGGTTCCATAGGGGGGTTCATCTGCTGGTTTGAGGTACCCGAGACCGGCTGGAATGTGTTCGGGTCCCTCCCCGGAAGCGGCTTGCCCTCCTTCCCCTCTGCAGTGACTGGCTGCTCTCTTCTGCGTGACGCCACAGAGGCCAGTGGCTTGCTTCCATTTCTTTGACCTTTTAGATCCAACCCGTTTCTTTGAGGTCTCGTGTGCTCATCGATCATGGCGGTTGATGCCTCACCTGGGCCCATATCCCGCCATAGATGCGTGCACATGACTTGCCGCTCATAACTGCATTTAAAAGCAGCTCGCGATTAGCAACAGCCCGCGGCAAACCTGGATACTTTGGCTCTCGTTGTTGCCCAAGCCTGGCATAGGTCCCCCCCTAGCCTCAACGCGCATCATGGACAGTTGCAACGTCTTCTGGTTGGTCGCCCTCCCTGCAGGGCTTTCGGGTAGCTGCATTAGCCCGCGACTGTTTGAACATCAGTCGTACAGCAAGGCACAGAATAGCGGCCCTTTCCACGCGCCCCCCTTTATTTACCAGGCATGACTAAGACTCCACAAGGGTCTCACTCACACACCCTTCTCTACTTTTTGCATATTTCACTTCATCAAAAGATCGAAATGAAAAAACTGCCCTGGCCCAAAGAAGAATGATGAACAATATACACATCTCCTCTTATTCCCACCTCATCGTGAACGCCAGTGGTATCCATCTATCAAAGCCCTCCTTTCTACTCAGTTCATCCTTATCCTCTCCAACATCATCATCTCTCCCACAACCCAAGAACAAACTCAACATCCCAAACGTACGCACCTCCATACCTCCCTATTCCCCCCCCCCCAACCACGGTTGGCCCAAATAACATGCAACCACCCGCTCAATCATAACCCCAAGATTACCAGATCCAATCGCGAACTGTTCCGCCACTTTTTCCACCTCAGGTGACAAGGTTAGGTTGTCAACCAGAAATCTGATTCATCTTATTTTTTCTTTTCTGCAATCATGATTTTTTTTGGTCGAACGTGTCTCAGTCTCGCACGCTTCCACCAAGCTCAGGCCACAAGTTCGTCCCCTCCCGGCCGCCGGGTTCAGATTCCATCCAAGTACGTTGCTGATATGTCAAGTTATCCCATCGTCATTTTCTCACTCTTCTGGTTTTCTCTCCACTGTGCTGTTTTGAGCAACACTCCCTTGGGTGTGCCAAATATCGAGAAGTTGAGCCACGTGGAAAAAGATGAGAAAAAAATATCTCACAGCCGGCAACGTTCCGGGGAAACCAATGAGCACATTTTCCTCAGTGGCGGACTGGCCAACGTTCATGGGCCATGAGTTATGTGATTGACAATATGTATGAGTATTCTTAGCAGGAACCACTCGGACTCTTTCCGACTACCCTATCAGACCAAGGATCAGATGCTCCGCACCTTATTGAACAACAGCAGAGATATCTCATGGAGTTAGTGTACCCAGCTTCTTGATATTTACATTATTGCTCCCATGGCTCCCGTGTTCGGTTTAGTCCATTTGTACTAGGACCTCGTCTATGAGGCCAGACAGCTCTCTATGTGCTTAACGATTCCGCGATACCCCCATTCCAGAAGAAAACCCTACCACCCCATAAAGTATATCCCCATCCAATCCGCCCAACCCAGCCGAATGTATATCTAAACAATGTATCTCCAAAGTACGCAAAAACAACCAAGCCTGCACCTTATACTTGCTACTCACCGCCAAACCGCCACCATTACTGGCCAGATTGAGACTTTGATTGCCCCCTTATTGATGACTAGGTACTTCCCGCATTGGCCAAGCATCTCACAAGCCAATTTGCTCAGAGGACTGGTTCGGTGTAGGAGGCAACACGGCAGGTGCGGGTCCCAGTGGGGGGACTCTGACTGGCCCTGGGTTTTTCACGGGAGGGGTGAGGATTTGCTGCCTCGGGGAAGGCGACAAGGCGGCAGCGGGAGGGAATATCAACGCGCCTGGATTGCCAAAGCTCTGCGAAGGAGTGGCGATCCCGTTACCATTGGTCCCGTTGACACCGCGACGCTGAGGAGGAGGCGAGTGCTTAGTGGGAGAGATACTCGATGGCGGCAAAGGTGATGACCGCCCGTCTGATCTGCTATCCTGGGACTGCCGAGGTCTGAACGTGTTGGTAATGTTCAATATAGGCGAGGCAGGTCGGCCTGGCTCTCCGATCGAAGCAAGTGTCTTTGTTGGTGGTGACGAAGGACGGTGCGATTCCTTTGTGGGGGAGATACCATTGCCGCTTTCGGGGAGCACCGGAAGACTGCTATCGGAGGCGCCGGACACAGGAATGCCACGGGACAGCTGAGCGTGCGGGAACAGATTCGGACGTGGTGATGAAAACGGGTTGCTCCCCTGTGAATCTGGGAGTTTCGTCGTTGCGGGACGGTCCCCATTTGCTTCGTCCAATGATGGTGCAGACGCCGGCTGCTCTGTCGATTCATCAACACCAGACGAGGCCTTCAATGGCAGCTCCACAACCAGTCGGGCACGACCGTCAGCCTCGCCCGTGGTGTTTTCAGTTGGTGCGGATTGTGGCGAGGAAGAGACCGGAGCTTCTTCCTGCTTATTCACCTTGAGCTTGATGAGAGGCCGCTGCTCAGCTTCCTTTTCGCGCCGACGACAAGGTTCGCAAACAAAGTGAAAATCTTCCTCCTCAGCCTCCTTTTCATTGATGCCAAGACACTTGCTGTGCTGCCAGACATTACATCGCTCACAGGCAACACTGTGGGTTCCGTCGTCGATTTGTCCGTATGCGCCGCAAATGCAATCAAAAATCCAGTCCTCCTCTTCCTCTTCCAGCTCCTGCAAAGCCTTCTTGTTCCTCTCGATCTCGGAAATCCTTCGACGGTCTGACATACGGGCAGAGGCTGTGCTCTTGCTGTCCTCGGACAGCTGAGCCAACTCCTCCTCATGCTGAAGACGTCGAACCTCTCTCTCCTTCAGCCGGCGCTCTCTTGACATCAGCCTGTGTTCTCTTTCGCGCTCCATCTTTGCCCGTTTCGTCTCCTCCTTGCGTCTAGCGGCCTCTTCCTCGCGTTGCCTCCGCTCTTCTTCGCGGGCACGTTCTTCCTCTTTACGGTGTTCAAGCTTGCCAGCGATTCGACTCGACCTCTTAGCGTGCGCCATTTTCTCCAGGTTCAGAAGCTCCTTTTCTCGTTGTAGTTGTTTACGTCTTCTGGATTCTTCCTGTTGCTCGAGGATCGGCAGGAGATGAGCTTGAATCTGATTGCGGAGAATCTTCTCATTGGGGTCTTTGGTTTTCTCCAAGGATGAAATGAAGTCGCGGACCTCGCTCAAGGTGGCGGCTAAGCATTCCCATTTCATGCCTCCAAGCCCATCATCCTCTGGTTCGGCGGGCGCGCCAGCTTCAGAGGCCTCGTCTCCAGCATCCTCGGTATCGCTCGCGGCACCAGATGCTACGCGGCGCCGTTTGTTGGCACGTTGTGCTGCTTTCGCCTTCTTGGTGTTCTTCTTAGGTTTTGCTGGTGCCGCCGGCGCCTCCGACATGCGGTACAATCGGTTGTCGTCGAGCACGTAGTATGTTCGATCATGTCGATCCCATCCGTAGGGTTCAATCCGCTATAAAAGTATCAGCTCTCTGCCAAGCACCCATTGCACATCGTCTGAAAAAGCGTACCCAGTTCGTCTGATCTGTATCCTTTTGTTCCTCCGTCTTATCCCGCAACTTCTCGGAGCTCATGATGATGAACTGCGTCATTTGTTGCAGAATACGAATCTGCGCGATCCGGCGCTTGTTAGTATGGGCAATTCACTGACTGTAGGGCTCCAAAACTGCTTCCCACGTACTTTGGTGAAGACATCAAAATCGGCAAAGCGCAATGAAACCTCTGAATTGCCAAACGGGTTCTTCTCCGGCGCTTTGTTGAGATATTGTCGTCTCGTGTACTCGTCGAATAGATCGTGCCTGATGTAGAACGTGGTCAGCAGGCTTTCGAGGCAGTTGACAGGTCGGCGTTAGAGATGGCATACGTTAGGCCACGGTGGGAGGAGAGGAACTTGAGGAAGCCCAGGCCAATGTTCTGCAAAGCCATGGACCCAGGCTTCAGACATTCTGCCTCCAAATCCTATAAGCGACCACAGTGTAAGCAAGGCGATGTCTCTTGCCAGGGTCGCAATATGCCCACCTCTATGTCCAAATTGTCGTCGAGCTTCAGGGCTTTGCCAAATAACATCATGAACTGAACCAAGTTGGCGAATTGCCACATATTCCTGATGCGAAGGAGAAGGGAGTCCTGCGGCGGCTCTTGGGCATTTTCCGAGCTGACCTCGGGCAGCGCCCGTTTGCGCGTTGCCGGCATTGTTCGATCGGCCTGTTGCTTTTCCTGTTGCGCAAGCTGTGGTTTGCGGTGCAAGCGATCGAGGGAAGCGATTGGACGAGTCTTGAAAGGGACGGTGTTTTGAAATTCAGCGGCTGTTCATGGCCTAGGCGAGTGTTGTTGCGAGTTGGTTCGCTGCGAATTTGTTGTAGGGCTGACTTCTTGAGATGGAGAGATTCTGACGTTTCTCACAAGGTGGGAAGCTACGCGCGTGAGCGGCTCAAAAGACGCGACTTGGAATTGGGCCCCACTAAATTTTACTTTGGGCACTTCTCTGGTTGAGCCAAGCGCCCCGCTCAGCTCCAACTCATGCAGTCAGCAAGCATGCTATGGATAGGTAGGGAATAATACTTCTTCGAGTCGAGTTATAGTATTAAGTAGTATACAGGGGAAACAGGCTGTGCAAAGTGCAATTGTTAACAGCCCAGTCCAACTGGAAGATCTCCCTCCATGTCCACGAGTACTTGGTATCTTCCTCCTCCCGTCTTCTTTTTACAAGATATCTTCAGTTTTCAGCAAATCCTTGGCTCTTCGGTAGTATCGCGACGTTTTCGGCATAGAGCAACACGCAACTCCCGAGCCGTTTCAGCTTGCGCAAAGTGGGGTGCTCCAATTGAGCCTTACGCACGTGAAGCCCGCACTGTGTTGCTCGCCAGCAGAACTGTGTGCACTACCCTATCCTCACAGTAAACTGCACTGTACGCTGGTTGGCCTTCAACTTGCCATCGCTGGATGGAAGCTGCCTCTCCTGGGCTGGGGCAGCAACCATTGTGTTTTGCGGCGCAGTCATCTGTCCTGACCTCCTCTGTAGACCCTCCCCCATACGTTCTTTCTTTTGACGATAATTAATTAATCACTCTTTTCTTGTTGCCTCTTGTTGACCTCTCGCAAGCCACCCCTTTCTCGTAGTGCCGCCAGCCAAACCAATACCCCCGTGCCCCTCCGGCGACACTTCAAACTCCATAAACAGAGCCTTAACGTCCAACCACCACGAGGCAAAAGCCAACTCGCACACACTCTTTGCATGGCATAGACATTAAGACTTTCTTCGCATATCATGCCTGCTACGAGGCTCTAGTGGTCCATGTTACAGCAGTTCTAGCGCATTCGCGCGCCCACCTCTCATTTAGCTTGTCGAATTGACACCAAGCCACCACTCGGCACCATGAACGACAACACGCCGCATACCCCGCGGCGAACCTCGCACAATTCTATACCTCCTCCGCACTCGATACCTTTGCAAGAAATCCAGCGCTCGCCAGAAGGAACCAGCAATGGGCGTGGGGGAGGAGATGGTTTCGGCGCTGGGGGGTCTTACAATGGAGCTCAGGATGAAAATAACAGGCCGCCAGCATCGCCGGTTTCCATGTCGGCCAACCTTCCAGGTTTCTCGTCTTATTGGGAGAACCCATATCCAACGGCACCCCACGATGCGGGCAGGACCGGCGGAAACCATTCCCCTATCGATCACTTGGGCCTTCAGTTTGCGCTGCCACCTGAGATAAGACAGCCATCGCCTTCTGCCTCACAGGGCTACATCACCTCGGCCGATGACCCGTACCAAATACCTCACCCTTATTATGACGAGCGAGCGGATACGGACTCCTTGGAGTCGGATAGAGTACCTCTGAAGCCATCGGCGCAACCCATCGGCCGTTTAGAGCCACCGGAAGGAGAAGCGACCCCCCGCCATAGCTTTCAGACCGTATCCGATCTTGGAAACACACCCTCTCGAGCACGAAGTACCCAGATGCTTGGGTTTGATTTGGAGCCGGGATTTTCAGCGGACAGGCATCGCAACTATGGGGACAATCTCTCACCAGTGGACGGGGGGCGGCGGTCCCGAACTCAGTCTACCAGCGGCGCCTTGCATAGAGCAGGCTCTATCATGAGGGCCATGTCACAGCGTGTTGTCGCTATCAGTGGTGAAGGTGATTTAGTGGATCAAGCAACCAGGCGTGAACGCGAACGGTCTCGGTCGCGCTCCCGTTCACCTAGTGTTGACGGCCGCCGGCCGGGCCATGTGTCCGCACCAATGCTTGTCGATACCTCGTATCCCTCACAGTCGTTCCAAATACCAGCGGAAAAGGATTCGGGGGCCACCTATGTTCATTCTCAGCAGCCATCCTCGCCTATGCCTCGGCGGCGTGGCCCTCTTCCAAACCCACTCAGGGGGAACTCACTTGGCATTTTCCCCAAGGACAATGCGCTCCGAGTATGGCTGTGCGATCTCCTGGTGAATCCATGGACAGAGCCCTTCATTTTGTTGCTGATTATTGCGCAAACAATTCTCTTGGCTGTTGAGTCAGCACCCGACGTTTTCGTCCCAGGAAATGAACGACCAGAGCGCTGGGGCACCACGCGGATAGACTGGGCCATATTTGCGCTGTTTATTATTTTCACACTCGAAATCATCGCCAGAATCATTGTTTCTGGCTTCATCGTTAACCCAGAGGAGTATGCTCCTCCCAAGACTAAGCGCCGAATTAAAGAACGGGTCGCCGAACAATATCGGGCCATATTTCGACCTCAGCGGCAGCGGTCCACCAGACAGCCAAAAAAGGAAGAGGAGTTTATGCCGACGTTTGCTAGGTCATTTACCATGATGCATGGCGTCGCGGCTGGTCAAGGCACCCTGGAGGAGCAACAGCGCCTTCTGCTTGCGCGCAGAGCGTTCTTAAGGCATGGCTTTAACCGGCTTGACTTCGTGGCAATCGTTTCCTTTTGGATATCGTTTGGGCTTGGTGTTGCTGGCTTGGAGAGCAAGCATTCCATCTACGTGTTTCGCATGCTCAGCTGTCTGCGCATCATCAGGCTTCTTGCCCTCACAAAAGGCAACCTTATCATCCTGAGGAGTCTGAAAAAGGCAGCGCCACTTCTTGTTAGGGTCTCTTTTTTGATGGGCTTCTTCTGGCTCATTTTTGCCATCATCGGGGTTCAGAGTTTCAAATCGAGCCTGAGCCGCCAGTGTACTTGGCTCAATCCTGAGGACCCAACGAACTTTGATATCACCTACTCGCCAAGCATGTCCTTCTGCGGTGGTTATCTCAATGCCACTACAGGAAAGGCAGAGCCTTGGGTCTACTCCAACTCTCCGACAAGAAATCTATCGGAAGAGTTTCTCGTGAAGGGTGCTCAGAATTCCAAAGGCCATGTATGCCCGCGAGGGTCCATCTGTCTTCAACAAGACAACCCTTTCAACGGAACGGTCAACTTTGATGACATCGGACACTCTCTTGAGCTAGTGTTTGTGATCATGAGCGCGAACACCTTCAGCGACTTGATGTACTATACGGTCAGCTCCGACTTTTTACCTGCGGCACTGTTCTTTGGCGCTGGAATCATCATCATGATGCTCTGGATGACGAACCTGTTGATTGCCGTCATCACATCATCTTTCCAGGTCATTCGCGAGGAATCCAAGGCCAGCGCCTTTACGTCCGAGGACTCCTATTTCGCAGCACCTACGGATGCCGCTACGCGGCGACTTTCAGGATTGCAGCGCTTTGTGAAAAACACACAGTGGCTGTGGGCACTTGTGATCACATTTGGGTTATTTGCCCAAGCCTTGCGGACGGCTTCCATGGATGCGATGCGTGAGAGGTTTATCAACACAACAGAGGTCGTTGTAACCATCCTTTTGGCTATCGACATTGCCATACGTTTTGCTGCGGACCACCATCGGTTTCATCGCAGTCCTCGTAACCTCTTCGACCTATTCCTAGCCGTCGTCACCGTCATCATTCTCATCCCTCCCATCCGCAATTCAGGTCAGGTCTACAACTGGTTGACCATCTTCCAAATCCTGCGGGTGTATCGCGTTGTTCTCACCATACCAATGACGCGAGACTTGATTTACCTCGTCCTTGGAAATGTCACCGGTATCGGGAACTTGATGCTCTTCGTCTTTCTTATGACCTTCCTTATGGCCATTTTCGCATCACAGCTATTCCGTGGTCAAATCCCAGCCTTGGATTCAGATGACGAGTGGATCGGGATCCCCTTCAACACCATCTACAACTCCTTTCTGGGCATGTACCAAGTTCTGTCGAGTGAGGGCTGGACAGAAATTCTGTACAATGTCACCACGTACACGGTGAGCAAGAAGACGTCGTGGATCGGCGCCGTGTTCCTCATCGGCTGGTTCATCCTCTCGTACTTTATTCTCATCAACATGTTCATTGCTGTCATCCAGGAGAACTTCGATGTGGGAGAGGACATGAAACGCCTTGAGCAAGTGAAGGCGTTTTTGCAACGGAGAGAGCTGGGCGGTTCGTCCAATCTGGCCTTGTCCAAAGTCTTTGGCTTCGGCCGGTCCAAGCACCGCTCAGACCCTCTTGATCAGGGCACGGGAATGATAGATATGTTGTTCAAAGAAGGGTTCGTTCGCGAATTTCTCGACGAAAGCTTGGACCCTTTGGAGACTACAGATGGCCAAGCACAACCTCGGGCAACAACCACATACAACGGCAATGTCAAACCAGGGTTCCTCTCCGCCATATGGGGCCACTTGGTGACCAAGTTTACCAGCCGAGAGCCCAATCCATTCTACTCCAACATCCGCTTCGAGGCGGCCAACGCGACTTTGGATCCTGGCCAGCTCGCCCGCCAGGCTGTGAGCGCAACGGCAGCCCGGCGCAAAGCACAGCGGGAGTATCTGATGCGCCATCCAAATTACAATACGTCTCTGTTCATCTTCAAGCCACGAAATCCTA